GGATTTACGGATCCCAGTACATAGACGGATCAGTTAAAGAAGGCCGTTTTGTAAAGATATTCCTCATAGTGCTACAGTACTTGGGCAAAACTCACTTTGGAAGCGGGACCACACTTGTTGTCATCCCTGAATGTGCTTCTTTTGGGAACAATTGGGACTTCTTGGTGGTTTTCTTGGTGCCCGTTGAGTTTGGTGGTTTTCTTGCAGTCATTACATTACCCAACTAGGTAATATCATCAGTGCTAGAAGAGAGTGGGGTTTGCTCTGATAATTTTGTATATACTTGTGGCTTGTCCTGTCAGTGTTGGTGAGAGTGTGAAGGACTTTCCATGGTGAAGGATTCTGTCAGACAAAAAGCAGAGGTGCAAAGGGCTGCCATGTTGTAAAGTCCCTCCTCATAGTTTTCAGCAAATACTTGGAGTTTTCAGTTTGGCAGTGGAACCACACTTAAAATTCTTCCTGGTAAGATCTTTCTTTCTTTCTTTCTTTCTTTCTTTCTTTCTTTCTTTCTTTCTTTCTTTCTTTCTTTCTTTCTTTCTTTCCTTTCTTTCTCTCTCTCTCTCTCTCTTTCTTTTTCCTTCCTTCCTTCCTTCCTTCCTTCCCTCTTTCTTTCTTTCTTTCTTTCTTTCTTTCTTTCTTTCTTTCTTTCTTTCTTTCTCTCTCTCTCTCTCTTTCTCTCTCTCTCTCTCTCTCTCTCTTTCTTTCTTTCTTTCTTTCTTTCTTTCTTTCTTTCTTTCTTTCTTTCTTTCTTTCTTTCTCAGCTGTGCAATTTCATAGATACTTTGGCAACTGCGTTAGCAAAAATTCCACTTTGGGCCATTCTACACTTTTTCTATTGTATATATCTAGGTTACATTCATTTTTTGTAGGGGAAAAATTTCACTACTTTTACATGCTGACCATGTGGTGATTGATTTCAAACCTTCAAATGTTGGGTTTTGTGTAGTATGATATTATTATATTTGTTGGGCCTCAACTCTAGAATTTTCAGACAGTGTGGACAAAGCCTGCAGTAATCTAGATGGAGAAGAATTCTATATTATGATAGGTATCCAGGAGTTTTTATCTAAATTTAGATAAAAACTGTATTGTTTTTATAAAAACAATACAGTTTTTATCTAAATTAACACTGGGGCCATGTTGTCCTTCCTCCAGATCCCACCAATTCAGTAACCTTAGGGGTATTCCTGGTAGTTTTTCAGAAATTTCCAGAATTCAGATGCTATAACCCTAAGAATGGAACATTTTGCACTTAGTTATTCTGTGACGTCACATCCAATTACACAGTGTAATGCATATAGACTTTACAATTTCTTCCTTCTTGTGTTGGCCTCAGGTGTTCTAGAAAATAGATTGACCCCCTCCTCTCTGTGACAATTACTCAAATATTGGAAAACTGCTACATTTGAGAGCTGTCACAGAGAGGAAGGGTTCAACCCAGTGGTGGGATTCAGCCAGTTCGCACCAGTTCGGCCGAACCAGTAGCTAATTTTTTGTTACCCAGGCCCAGAATGGACTTCCAGAAACGACATCCACACAGAGAACTGGTTGTTCACATATTTGAATCCCACCACTATTTCAACCTATTCTCCAAACACCTGAGGGCAAGACAAGGCTGGAAAATTAACAAAAAGAGATCCAACGTACAATTAAGAAGAAATTTCCTGTCAATGACAACAATTAATCAGTGGAACAGCTTGCCTTCAGAAGTTGTGATTCTCCATCACTGGAGGTTTTTAAGAAGTGATTGGACAGCCATTTGTCCAGAATAGTATAGGTCAGGGGTAGGCAACCTTGGCTCTTTTATGACTCGTGGACTTCAATTCCCAGAATTCCTGAGCCAGCATGGCTGGCTAAGGAATTCTGGGAGTTGAAGGCCACAAGTCATAAAAGAGTCAAGGTTGCTTACCCGTGGTTCTCCTACTTGAGCAGGAGCTTGGACTAGAAGACCACCAAGGTCCCTTCCATCTCTGTTATTCTGTAACCCTGGTATCCTTGGGTTTGATCTTTTTGTAGAATGAATGCAGATTTGGGTCCAAACTTCATGCATATTTCTGTAAGGTCATTACTCTTCAATTAATTCACTAAATGAAGACAACAGCAGGAAATGCAGCAAGACAAGCTATTGCAAGTTCTTAGTTATAAAATGATAGCATCGGATGAAAGCCCACAGAGAGGGAGGTGTAAGCTTTGCAGGTTCTCCTCTGAAATAAGTTTTGAAAAGTTTTGAAAAGTTTTGCAAGCGCTTGAAGAAGTTATTAGCTTGTGTTGCAAAGCAAAAAAAAGTGCACAAGTCAAAAGAGGATGTATGTTGAGTTTTTGTGTTTGTGTTTTGCATTTGAACTGTGGATATGTGCATGGCTATTCAATGTAAGGGATCAAAATGTGTCTTTGTGGCCTTATGTTGGGACACCGAGGCCCATACAACTTTGGGGCTGGCTGGTCCCATGACAACCTCTCCCCTGCAGTCTGTATTAACAACTACTAACCCTCCCCATCTTGGAATTTTTCACTTTTTGAAATTTCATAATGTAACTTTGGGTTCACTTCTGGATCTTGTCCAGAAGTCCGCCAAACTGAAATACTTAATCTAGCAGAAAGGTGGGGAGGAGGGTTAAAAACTACACAGAAGTAACCGTTAACTGTTTTTAGTTTAATTTGCCTTGAAACACATTCAATTAAATTATATTTTTTAGTTCAGGGATGAACTGTGGAAGCCCTTGGTGTTCTTTGAGCTTGGTTGTTTTTTTGACCAAAACATTTCCTCATCAGCAATCAACATCCAGATGAGCAGAGATTAACATCAGGATTAACTCTAGACAAACAATCAAGAAGTAAACAATACCCCAATCAAGGAACTAACAATAAGCTAATAGACAAATAAGCTAACAGTGAACAACAGCCTGATCAAGCAATCACCAACAATACTCTCACCAACATTGACAGGGCAAGCTATTAATACATACAAAGAGAGCAAATTCCACTCCTCTCTAGCACTGATAATGTTACCTACTTGGGTCATGAAATGCCTGCAAGAAAACAACCAAGCTTAGCAAGCACCAAGTTCACACAAATTATAATTACTTTTCATCCTCACTTTATTGAATTTTTTTGGGTGTAATCCCTGGCACCCACTCAAAAGGCAATGAGTGACTCACGATCCTCCTTCAAAAAAGTCACAATTTATATCAGAATAGAGGAATCAGAATACAGCTGGGAACTTAGAGATCTTCTAGTCCAGCCTCTGCTCAAGCAGGAGATCCTATATCATTTCAGACACGTGGCTACCCAGTCTCTGCTTAAAAAACTCCAGTGATGAAGCAGCCACAACGTCTGAAGGCAAGCTGTTCCACTGGTTAATTGTCCTCTCTGTTAGGAAGTTTTGCCTTAATTCCAGTTTGCTTCTCTCCTTGATTAGCTTCCACCTATTGCTTCTTGTCCTGCCCTCTGGTGCTTTAGAGCAGTGGTTCTCAACCTGTGGGTTGGGACCCCATTTGGGGTCGAACGACCATTTCACGGGGGTCGCCAAACAATGCAGTCCGCCATTTTTTTCCCCTTTTCCTTAGCTGTGCTACTCCCTTGTATTCTATTGGCTTTTGAAAGCCAATAGAATAGACTCTCTTGAATAGAGTCTAATTCTATTGGCTTTCAAAAACCAATAGGAATTGTCCAGGCTGTCTCTGCCTTCTGAGCCCGCCAAAAGTCCCATTCTGCAAACGGTGCTGCACCAGTTGAGTAGTCCTCGACTTACGACCGGTTGAGTAGTCCTCAACTTACGACCGGTTGGGGGTCACGGCATTAAAAAGGTTGAGAACCACTGCTTTAGAAATAAGTTGACCCCCTCCTCTTTTTGGTAGCCTCTCAAATACTGGAAGGCTGCTATCATGTCCCCCCTAGCCCTTCTTTTCTCCAGACTGGCCATTCCCAAATCCTGCAATCATTCTTCATATGTTTTGGTCTCCAGGCCTTTAATCATCTTAGTTGCTCTTTGCACTTTTTCCAAAGTCTCAACATCTCTTTTGTAATGTGGTATCCAGAACTGGATGCAGTATTCCAGATGTGGTCTTACTAAGGCTTTATAAAGTGGTACTAATACTGCATGTGATTTTGAGTCTACGCCTTTTTGACACAACCAAGGATTGTATTAGCTTTTTTTGGCTGCTGCTGCACCATGCTGGCTCATGTTTAAGTTATCGTCCACTAGGACTCCAAGATCCCTTTCATAGTTACTATTTTTGAGCCAGGTTTCACCTAATCTGTACTTGTACCTTTGGCTTTTCCTCCCAGGTGTAAAACCTTGCTTTTCTCTACATTCAGCATAATTTTGGTGGATAGGACCCATTGTTCAAGCCTGTCAAGATTTTTTTGGATTCTGAGCTTGTCTTCTGGGTGTTGGCTATTCCTGCCAGCTTAGTGTCATTATTTTGTTAATTACTCTTTAGAATAGTTTAAAATTACAGATGTTTCCATAACTTCATTGCCTCTTATGACAGAGTACAATGTGAAGTAGAACTAATAGATGAGAAGATACAGCATACCCTTTATTGGTGTGATGTAACTTTTTACAGCTAGTCCTCGACTTATGACAGTTTGGATCGGAATTTCTTCTGTAAGTCAGTTGTTAAGTGAGTCGTGCTCTGGTTTTATGACTATTTTAGCTGCGGTTGTGAAGGGAATCACTGTAATTGTTAAATAAATCCTCCAGTTGGTAAGTGAATGCAGCTTCTCCCACTAACTTTACTTGTCAGAAGCCCAGCTGGGAAGGTCACAAATGACAACCATTGTAAATTCATGATGGTTGCTCAGCACCTGAATTGTGATCACGTGACTCTTGATGCTGCAGCCATTGTAAATTGGAGGACCAGTTGTAAATTACATTTTTTCAGTGCCATTGTATGGTTGCTAAGTGAACGGTTGTAAATCTAGGACGACTTGTATGTGTTTTCCAAGATTTTCAGATCTTAGTTCATGTTTCTGAGCAATGTCTGTTTTTATTGTAGAACTGGATGATTCAGAACCTTCTGTCTACCAGCTGAAGTCCCAAAATGAAGAAAGCAATGTGGCCGCTTGCCTCATTACTGATTATTCACCTAATCCCATCGATGTGAATTCAGAACCAGTCAGTGGCTCTACTGTGGTCGTAAAAGACGGCAACAATAAAGATTCAGCCAGCCTTGGGGTTGTCACATGGGGCAAAAATGATGACCAGTTTCATTGCTCTGCTACTTACAAAGGCACCCCCTATGAAGCTGAAACACAAGGTAAATCAATGAAGATATTGGTGTTTGACAAAAACATTCCAGATTCCAGAAATCTGTTTTGTTTTTTTTATCATAATCAGAATCATTAATGATTTTTGTTGCTGTTGTTGTTATAGGAGATGATACCTGTTCAAAAAATACACCGTCCGGCACTCCAGCTTTTGAAACAGGTATGTCTACTGTGGGTCAGAGCTCATATTGAAATAACAAGAGTTGGAAGGTGTCAGGGAATTGCGCAGCAACTGTTCCACATGAAGTCAGAAACAGTGACACGAACTTGTAACTTTATATAAATAAATAGATTTTACATTCAAATGGACAGCCATCAAGAGAGTCAGGAAAAACATGAGGTAAATTCAAACAGTAGTCAAGAGAGTTAGGAAAATCATGAAGTAAATTCAAACAGCAGTCAAGAGAGTCAGGAACATCATGAGGTAAATTCAAACAACAGACAGAGTTCACAGAAGAAAAAGGCAGGGAAAAAAGGAAAACTCCCCCTTTATACCCCACAGCAACCAATCATAGCATAGAATAGCCTCATGCATGAGTCAACACTCTCCAACCAATCAACTACAACTGTGTGTTCTGGCCCATTGTACAGGGTTTCCTGCCTGAGCAGGGGGTTGGACTAGATGACCTCCAAGGTCTCTTCCAACTTTACTATTATTATTATTATGGATCATCGCACAGTCAGCCAGATGTTCAGACTGGATTTGGCATTTTGTCTACCTATAGAGTCCTTACCCAGGACCTGGGATAGGCAGATGTGGATGTTTGATGGTATTATAGGTATCGTCGCAGAATGGAAGCAGTTCCTAGCAAGGCCGCCTTTTGCAATTGACTAATAGCGAATTTGTCAATGCCAATGGTGTTCAAATGGTGCTCCAGTTGTTTTGGGATTGCACCCAAGGACCCTATCACTATTGGTACTACCCTTGCTTGCTTTTGCCACAGTCTTTCTATTTCTATTTGTAGGTCTTTGTATTTTGTTATCTTCTTCTTCTTCTTCTTCTTCTTCTTCTTCTTCTTCTTCTTCTTCTTCTTCTTATTCTTCTTCTTCTTCTTCTTCTTCTTCTTCTTCTTCTTCTTCTTCTTCTTCTTCTTCTTCTTCTTCTTCTTCTTCTTCTTCTTCTTCTTCTTCTTCTTCTTCTTCTTCTCCTTCTCCTTCTCCTTCTCCTTCTTATTATTATTATTAAGTCCAACCCCCTGCTCGAACAGGAGATCCTATACCAATATAGGTATATGAATGAGATATATCAATTAGAAGTTGAAATAAAAACAGAGTGTTAAGTTTTCAGTAGGGCTTGAGGGAATCTCACAAAAGTCAAGATGGTAACTGTGAATGCCAGACCTAAGTCCCGCCTCTTATTTATTATGTGTGGCAGGCCCAACACACACAAAAAAGAGCAAGGTTTAAGTTGCGTATGGCTGACATTGCAATTTTATTTTAACCCACACTCCTCCACTGCGGAATCATTTTTTGAACATTCAAGTACATCCTTACTTGAGGGATCCTTGGTGTTCTCTGAGCTTGCTTGTTTTCTTGCAGAGGTTTCATTACCCTCACTAGGTAACATCATCAATGTTGAGATGTTTTGACACCGAGAGGTATAAGAGCCTTGAGCGCCTTCGGTCTTACATGTTCAATAGACTTAGTCCTATGGCAGTGATGGCGAACCTTTTAGAGACCAAGTGCCCAAACTGCAACCCAAAACCCACTTATGCATCTTCGGGTGCTGGGTGGATGTGGCCATTGGGTGAGTGTGGCCCATTGGGTGGGCATGGCTATAGTGGTAACGATAGTCTGGGTGGGACTAAAACGTTCAATCAATCAATTCCAACTTTGCAAGATCTTTTTTCCCCGCAAGTAATTGAAATTGACTGATTGATTGAACCTTTTTTGTTTTTTGCACCTGGGGGCAAAGGCCTAAAGCAAAAAGGTTTTATAAAATCCAGCTGAAGGCCTAGGACTGGGGAGATGGTGTGCATGCCCACAGAGAGGCTCTGTGTGCCACCTCTGGCACCCGTGCCATAGGTTCGCCACCACTGTCCTATGGGGTCCTTATGGAACCCATAATGGAAGAGGGAAGCCAAAACATGAAAGATTTTTGTCTATTCTGCTGTTCCTGGTCAATTCTGCTTGCCCCCAACTTTTGCTCCTTCCTCACATCAGGAAGGTTGGAGCATGTGGCATAAGTAGAGATCCCTAAAGCTTTGACAGATTCTGAAACCAGCTTGTCAACTTGGTGGGACCCACACCTGTTGACATACTTCCCCACCCCTGGCTAGACCAACCAATATTTTTTGAACTTCATCTCCCAGAATTCCAGACCCAGCCATGCTGGTTCAGGAATTCTGGGAGTTGAAGTTTACATATCCTAAAAGGGCCATAGTTTCCCACCCCTGGTCCAGGCAAACATCATAAGCAACCAATCTCAACGGTCACTAGGAAATCTTGATATTTCTTTCTTTTTTTCTTCTTTTTCTTCAGACGAAAGGTTGAATCTTCTCTCTCTCACTGTATTGGGACTGAGAATAATATTTTTCAAGAGTGTTGCTCTCAACTTGATACTCACCTATTGGGCATGGTCAAGATGAGGTAAGCAGATTCTTTAATGTCAATGGTTTCGATTTTGGCAATTTAGCCTGAAAGTTTATCTTATTACAACTGTACCCAAACCAGAACTGAGAACTCAGTACAGGTAGTTCTCGACTTACAACAATTCATTTAGTGACCGTTCAAAGTTACAACAGCACTAGAAAAAGTGACTTATGATCGCTTTTCACACATGTAACTGTTGCGGCAACCTTATGGTCACGTGATCAAAATTCAGACGTTTGGCAACTGACTCATGGTTATGACAGTCAGAGTGTCCCAGAGTCATGTGACCACCTTTTGCGACTTTCTGGCAAGCAAAGTCAATGGGGAAGCCAGATTCATTTTACAACTCTGCTACTAACTTGACAACTGCAGTGAATCACTTAAAATTTGGTGAGAGGTTGTAAAATGGGGCAAAATTCACTTAACAAATGTCTCACGTAGCAACAGAAATTTTGGGCTCAATTGTGGTTGTAAGTCCAGGAACTACGTGTAAAGCATGAATTGAATGTGCTCTGGGTTGAACTCTTTTATTTTCAATTCACAAATGCATCTTGATTTGCTTTTCAATCTTGCGAGTACAAAACTTTTGGATCCAACTTCCTTAGCAAAACCACTGCTTTAAACTGGGAGAAAGGGCAATTTCTAACTTCAACTCCCACAGGTACAATGTTTTCACCCAATTCTCAGGCAGGGTGCACATAGCAAAATCATGAATGCATTCCTACATTCAACCAGCTCAGTGTTTTCCCTCTTTGTGTATGTGTGCGTGCAGCATTTTGATAAAATAATTTGAGGGGAGGGATTGTGAGTGCACAGGGAGAAAAAAGCTTCACCACCTCTGGGAGCTATTTTCCTGATCTGAATGTCTTTTCAGAAGGAAAGCTTCTTATCATTTAGTACACATGCTGAACAATGGAACAACCACAACAAAGCTCTCCATCTCTTCCTGGGTAATTCATCCAAGAGGTTCTTTAGATGTTCACATTTTTTTTTACTTACATCAATCCTTTCCAACATGGTTGGTAATAATGGGAAAAACAATCCAAAGTTATTTATTTATTTAAAAAAACCTATATGGCTGCCTATGGAGAGTCTCAGTTATCCAGGTTGTGGTTGTCTCAAAGGTGCTTTTTCACAGGGCAGTTGGACTTTCTTGTTTTTCTTTGAAGATGTTTCGCTTCTCGTCCAAGAAGCTTCTTCAGCTGTTCTTCAGAGCTGAAGGAGCTTCTTGGACGAGAAGCGAAACGTCTTCAAAGAAAAACAGGAAAGTCCAGTTGCCTCATGAAAAACCACCTTTGGGACTATATGCAGTGGTGGGATTCAGCCAGTTTGCAGCACTTTGGCAGAACTGGTAGCTAATTTTTTGTTGCCCAGGCCCAGAATGGACTTCCGGAAGCGGCATCCACACAGAGAACCGGTTGTTCACATATTTGAATCCCACCACTGACTATACGGCCACCCGGCTCACTCTCTATGACTTTGGGCAGCTTACCAGGATAAAAGCCCAATATAAAAATAATTTAAAAAATAGTCCACCCACCCTGGCAACAACAATCAAACGAGCCATTTGATGGGCTCTATTCCTCTCTGGAATCCCTAGGCCCATTGGCAAAATCAGGTCTTCGGGCCTTGTGGAAAAAATGTCAAAGTGGGGGCCAATCTGCAGGGATGATATTCCACAGAGACGGAGCCACCACAGAGAAAGTTCTTCTTGGCCCTACTAGATCAGGGGTAAGCAACCTTGGTTCTTTTATGACTCATGGACTTCAACTCCCAGAATTCCTGAGCATGCACGGCTTAGCTTGGAAACCTCTCCCTTTTCCCTCAGCATGGCTGGCTCAGGAATTCTGGGAGTTGAAGTCCACGAGTCATAAAAGAGCCAAGGTTGCCTATCCCTGTACTAGATGGACCTCTTAGGAGAGGGGATTAGAGGATCAGTAATCCATAGAATATTGCTAATTAAAGACTTTACAGATTTATTCAAGTGTATGCTCACCCACACATCTACTGCAATATAGGATAATGAAAGGGAAGCACCATGCTTGAGTGAAGGTTATAAAACTAGGCTTGAATTAAATCATTTCTGGACTACACTGATGTGAATGTGTATGTGTGTTTGTGTTTCCAGTCCTTAGAGTCATGGGCTTAAAAATCATTCAACCAACTTGGGCTCCCATTGATCCTGATTCCTGTATAGCCACAGGTAGATTGGCCTTCCCTCAGTATGGACTTTGTAGCTAAATTTGATGGAAGTTGAAATCCATTACATCTGAATGATTGAATGGCTCTCACGAGGCTTTGAGTGGCACCCTTAAATTAAATGCAATTTCATGGTGATATAAACCAAGTCTAAATTTCAAGGCATATTGCCAATCTTTCAATGTTTGAAAATGGTCTGTGTTTGGGACAAGGGGTATCATTCTAATTCTCTCAGATAATCAGAATTCTCTCTTCCTCTTTGTGTATAGGAATGAGAGCAAAATGGGGAAACATAACTGGGATGTTGTGGAAGAATCATCTAAGGATTTCAAGATTTGACTGGACAGAATCATGCTACAAGCTTTCCTGGTTGCCTTCTCAACTTTTTAAAGAAAATGGCTTCACTTTTCAAATGTTTCATGGTACAATTTTTAAAAACATCTAGGTAGCTTATCAACCCAAATTCTTGCATTGTTCTAAATGTATTATACCGTCTTCTGAATATTATCTGTCAAAACATTTATAGTGTAATAAAGATGCATATTTGAATGTCTGCGTGTATGGCTCATGTTTTATTATTCGGGATCATTGTTACTTCTTCCCCCTTCATCAATAACAAATAAACTCAGAATGGCTTACAAAGATAACAGAATTGGAACGGACCTTGGAGGTCATCTAGTCCAACCCCCTGCTCAAGCAGGAGAACCTACCATTTCAGCCAAATGGCTGTCCAATCTCTTCTTTAAAACCTCCAGTGTTGGGGCACCCACAACGTCTGGAGACAAGTCACTGATTAATTAGTAATATATTAAAAGTCTATAATATTCCATAATATGGTTTATCTTATTTAAATGAGAGCCCAGCCTTTATGTTGCTGTGTGCCAACCCTCTTATATTGTCTTTGTCTAGATTTTCTTTCTTGAAAGCAAAGCCAGAATGTTAGAACTCGCACTTTTGAAAGTATAAACTTCTTAAGGCAAGCTTCTTAGAGCTCTTGCGTGCCATAGAATTTTATTTCAGCTTTTCATCTGTGCATCTAAGCACTGGCTTTGTTTTTACAAGAATTATATGCTGGATAAAAAATATTGGCCTTCTGATCTTATTTAGTTCACCATCTTTTTTAAAAAATAAATTAAAATTCATGTGTTTTTGAACATCTGAAAAGAAGTCAAAGTTACAAAGGCAATTTTTGTAATACTAATACTTAAAGGTATTCTGGGGTTAAAACAACAGAGAAGGCCCAGAACAGGATCACAGAGTCTGAGAAAAATCAGATTTGAAGACTATGCCAATCCTGTTCTATCATTTGGAAACAATGCGCAAAATCAGTATCAGTTGTTCACGGTGCTGATGTCATAGCATTATATATTTGAACAAAAAGTGCTGGAAGTTATCTCAGCCAGAAGTTCCTTAAGAAAATGACAATAATTCCCAACTCCCAATGCCTAGCCAATTGGGTTTAGCTACACTACTGCATCTGACTCCAAAGGTTTAAAAGTTGCATCACTTGATACTGAAACAACTATCACAGCAGTTATGATCAACCAGGTCTTTTACATTCACTTCTAGAAACTCTTTGTGACTTGACCTCTTGTGTTAGTTTTGCAATCTTGGTATTAAATCAGATTAAATAGGTGGGAGAGATTCTACAAAATCTACTCAGGTCTGAATCACATAAAATTCCATTGACGACTACAGAGAGGTTTCAGTAAAAGCAGAAAACAAACATAATTATAGTTTTGTTTTCCCAGAACAAACCACCGTATTCAAGCTGAGCACAGCAGGAAGTGAGGAAGAACTTGTTTGCTATCTAGTCTTTTACATCTAAGGAAGCTCCTTCAACTTAAGTCTTTAAATCAGTTGAATCTAAATCTGTTGCTAATTAGGATTTGGAGGAACTTTTATTTCATTTCATTTTTATCCCACCTTCGTTATTTTTTACAAATAGCTCAAGGCAGGGAAAATATCCAACACACCTTCCTCCTCCCGTTTTTCCCACAAAAACAAGCCTGTGAGGTGGGTTGGGCTGAGAGAGAGAGTCACTGGCCCAAAGTCACCCATCTGGCTTTTATGCCTAAGGTGGGACGAGAACTCAGCCTCCTGGTGATCAGCCCAAAGTCACCCGGCTCATTTTCATGGCTAAGGCAGGACTAGAACTCAGATTCCTATTGATTGGTCCAAGGTCACCCAAGAAGCTATCATGGCTAAGGCAAGACTTGAACTTTCAGTTTTCTAGTGATTGGTCCAAAGTCACCTAGCTGGCTTTCATGCCTAAGTGGGACTAGGTCACAGTCTCTTAGGTGGTTGGCTCAAGGCCACCCAATTGGCTTTCATGGCTAAGGCAGGACTTGAACTCAAGGTCTCCTGCCTTCACCACTAGACCAAACTGGTTCTCCAAATTAGCTAGGAATTATGCTGGTTGAATTCTCCCATATTGAGAAGACAGTGAATTGAGAAAGGCTGATTTAACAAAGCTATCGTCTTTCTTTCTTTATTTATTTTGGTAAGACCCACAGAGTTACATGTGTCTTATTTCTCAACTCTTTTGGTGTACCATATATAACTTTATAATTATTCTTTCCTTAAGGAATATTAAATCACCCACTGTAGGGAAAGCGTATAGATGAGTGTTTCTTATGAGAAATAAGAATCTGTGCCTTCCAGATTCAGGGGAAACAATCATGGGAAACAGCTGCCAAAAAGGCCAGCACAGTTCTAGGCTGCATTAACAGAGGGATAGAATCAAGATCACGTGAAGTGTTAATACCACTTTACAATGCCTTGGTAAGGCCATACTTGGAATACTGCATCCAGTTTTGGTCACCATGATGTAAAAAAGATGTTGAGACTCTAGAAAGAGTACAGAGAAGAGCAACAAAGATGATTAGGGGACTGGAGGCTAAAACATATAAGGAATGGTTGCTGGAATTGGACATGTCTAGTTTAATGAAGAGAAGAACGAGGGGGGACATGAAAGCAATGTCCTAATATCTCAGGAGCTGCCATAAAGAAGAGGAAGTCAAGCTATTTTCCAAAGCATCTGAAGGCAGGACAAGAAGCAACGGATGGAAACTAATCAAGGAGAGAAGCAATTTAGAACTAAGGAGAAACTTCCTGACAGTTAGAACAATTAACCAGTGGAACAACTTGCCTCCAGAAGCAGTGAATGCGCCAACACTGGAAGTTTTTAAGAAGAAATTGGCAGCCATTTGTTCGAAATGGTATAGGGTTTCCTGCCTGAGCAGGGGGTTGGACTAGATGACCTCCAAGGTCCCTTCCAACTTTATCATCATTATTATTAATAACTCCATTTTATTCTGAATTAGTTATAGCTCCTCTGACATACTGGGAGGGATCCTAGCTGCCTCTTTTTATGAAGCTATAGACACTGAAAATGGCCAATATGGAAAAAAAAAGTGAAATCATTTAGATTGAAAACCATCAGAAGAGAAATCGTACACTGCAAGATAAATCTGGGTGGAATTGTTTAAGAAGGGAAGAAATGGATCAGCAGGAATGGTGGGATTCACGTAACTGGGTGTCTTTAGTCAGATACTGGACAGCCATTTGTTAAAGATAATCTATTATTTGATATTGGGCCAATGTCTGATTTTAAGAGCTGTGCAGGGCCAATAATACTATGATAGTATATGTCATTAGTTACTCTCACAACTGTGCAATAAAAATTCAGGCATTCATTTATATTCTGCCTCTGTTTGGATAATTGTACAGTTCCAGCAGCCTTTAATAATAGGCATATTAAAAATCCTGGATGGTACCATCCCAGATGGCTTAGGGGACATAGTCTCAAAGGCGCTTTTCCAAAAGGCAACTAGACTTTCTTTGTTTTTCCTTGAAGAGGTTTCACTTCTCATCTAAGAAGCTTCCTCAGTTTTGAATGAATGATGGAGAAAGGAAGCATTTATGTTCCTTGCAGTCATCTGGTCATTAGCACTCCCTCTAACAGTCATTGAGGCCACTTGGAGATTTATCAGTGCCCTCAGGGTCACCTGAATAGTGCAAATGGGCATGGAGCCTTCTTGGAAGTGCTGAAAGGACTGTGTTGTAAATAGGGAGATAGGTGGTGATGTAAAAAAAGATGTTGAGACTCTAGAAAGAGTACAGAGAAGAGCAACAAAGATGATTAGGGGACTGGAGGCTAAAGCATATAAGGAACCGCTGCTGGAATTGGCTAGGTCTAGTTTAATGAAGAGAAGGACGAGAGGGGATATACTTGCTGTGTTCCAATATCTCAGGGGCTGCCACAAAGAAGAGGGAATCAAGCTATTTTCCAAGGCACCTGGAGGCAGGCAAGAAGCAACGGATGGAAACAAATCAAGGAGAGAAGCAACCTAGAACTAAGGAGAAACTTCCTGACAGTTAGAACAATCAACCAGTGGAACAACCTGCCTCCAGAAGTGGTGAATGCTCCAACACTGGAAGTTTTTAAGAAGAGATTGGACAGCCATTTGTTCGAAATGGTATAGGATTTCCTACCTAAGCAGGAGGTTGGACTAGATGTCCTCCCAGGTCCCTTCCAACTTTATTACTTTATTATTATTATTATTATTCCCCTTCTGTTAACAGAGGACTGTTCAATTTTAACGCAGATCGCGTCTTTGACTCCTCTTTCAAATTAGCCGTCTTCTCTATCGAGAATATGGACTTTGCTGTCTTCAAAAGGTTTTCCTTTGCTTTGGATCAGAGAACGCAAGCAATTTCTCAGAAATACTCATTCAAGTTGATGGATTTTAAAAAGTGAACAGACATAAAATTTTGTGGAGTTTTTATTAGGGCATGTTAAAAAAGAGGAGCTGGACCCAGCAACATTTCAAGGGTAAAAAGATTCCCGGTTTGAACTGTCTCGTTTCTGGGTGCTAAAAAATAGAAATCATCTTACAGCAGTTGTTTCAAAGGTGACATTACTTCCCTAACAAAAACTATCCTTCATTTTTTCCAGATAGCACAGTAGATGACTTTAAATTTAAACAATTATTTATTTAAAACAGTGAGATGGCTGCCCATTTTTCAACCAACCCTGGGCAGTTCCCAATCAAATTAAAAAAAAAATAAAATATTTTTAAAAACTATAACATTCAACCAGTTAAAACATAAAAGATTACAGCAACAAAAAACTGGTGCCAATCCGTGCTAATGTGCCAATACTAATCTTCTCTAATTATCTACTTAAAACATGCCTTAAAGCAATTTTCTCCAATTATTTAATTTAAAGCATGCATTAGCATGAGTTAAAACTTGTCTCTGAAGACAACTGGATTTGCTCTTACTAACAGGAATTAAGAGAAGAAGTTCTATTGAATAAACTTGGGGTAATTGGGTTAGGTTTTACTGTTCAAAGTAAAACAAAGCATTTTTCTGATATTTTAAATTTGAGGGACTATTTTTAACATCCTCCAGGTGTTATTTCAACCTTCATCTTGGCCACAATTTACATTTTAAGTTTTAAAAATATCTTCCCTGCACAGTTTACCCCTGGCCCAGCTAGCTAAGCAAAAGGAAATAAACAAAAGCAGGAAATGGAAAAAGGGGCAGATCTTAAAATGGGTCAAACCAACCTACCTGAGTCTTCCATGACGTCAGGAGCGGCAAAATTGATCTGGGCCATCTTTTGAAGCTCTTCCCGCAGAGACCGCTTCCTCTAGAAAAAGTTGTTTTGCAAAATTGAACAAAGAGCCGGCACGTGGCAGAGCTCGGGCGGAAAACCGGAATGGGGAGAACGTTACACCTCAAGTTGAGATCCTTTTGAGTCAAGGTGAAAACCCACAACACCGCTAGATACACAGGTGCAAAAGGGGAGAGGTGCAGCTAAGTATACCACTAGTAAAAAGACCTGCAAAGACTAAGAATAACTTTGTGGTTGTTCCATTTGCGGGCAACTTAGAACAAATAAACTGGAGCAAAGACCTTGTGCACTCCTTTGAGGAGGATCTAGTTTGCAAAAATCAGCCAATTTTATTTCTGTTACCAGAATATGTTAATTTTTTTCCTGCTCAGGTAGCAAGGATCCAATGATTTCTGGGGGTAGATCCCAAAATATGTCGTTGGAGTGAAAAGCATTTGATGGTGTTAAGAACTTAAGGGAAAAAAAGATCTGGGTGGCTTTATGGACCTTGTAGTGGTTTATCGAAGAGAAGGACAAGGGGGGACATGACAGCAGTATTCCAATATCTCAGGGGCTGCCATAAAGAAGAGGGAATTAAGCTATTTTCCAAAGCACCTGAAGGCAGGACAAGAAGCAACGGGTGGAAACTAATCAAGGAGAGAAGCAACCTAGAACTAAGGAGAAACTTCCTGACAGTGAGAACAATTAATCAGTGGAACAGCTTGCCTCCAGAAGCAGTAAATGCTCCAACACTGGAAGTTTTTAAGAAGAGACTGGACAGCCACTTGTCCGAAATGGTGTAGGGCTTCCTGCCCGAGCAGGGGGTTGGACTAGATGACCTCCAAGGTCCCTTCCAACTTTACTACTATTACAACATTAGCAGCTCAGACTCCTACAGCCATTTCAAATTCACTACACAAAATTCTTGACACCGTTAAGCATATTGGAGCTTAACACACTATGTGAATCCTGTTAACTACAGCTTAAGAACCAGGGTTTATCACTTAACATAGACTGAGAAATTAATTAACTGTGGTAGGTTAAATAAGCCATAGCACATGGCCATGCCTATGGGGGATAGGGATGGCATATAACTTTAATAAATAAACTCTACCTTTTCTGCAACTTCTGGAAAGCCTCTGAGGATCAGGTTAAGGTTTGACCTGGAATAGGATATGCTCAAATTACAAGCAGGGTCCTGAAATCTCCATCCATTTGTTCTCAATTAGTGGAATATAAATTAAGCCACCTCTGACCGTCCTTTCTTCCAGATGTTATTCACTGCCAAGCACAAGCAATGCAATGGAGTTGTAATTCAGCAACGCTAGGAAACTCATAGCTTCTCATTCAGGAAAGATTAAAAAACCTCTATTTTTAAGAGACCCACCTAAAATGCTAAACTGCACGTTTAGGAGTGGCATCGAGATGTGTTACCATATGAATCTACTTCTATTTCAGGGTTCTTCACACTTGGCCCTTTTATGATTTGTGGACTTCAACTCCCAGAATTCTTCAGCCAGTGTGCCTGGCTGAGAAATTCTGGGAGTTGAAGTCCACAAGTCGTAAAACAGTCGTGTTTGAAGACCCCTGTTCTATATGTACCAGTGTTTTTTAATCTTGGCAGCCTAAAGATGTGTGGACTTCAATTCCTAGAATTCCCCAGCCAAATGTTAATGTCCACACATTTTCAAGGTACCGTATTTTCCGGCGTATAAGACGACTTTCTAAAGCATGCAAAACATCTCCGAAGTCGGGGGTTGTCTTATACGCCGAGTCGTCTTATACGCCAGAAAATATGGTAGTTTCTGGCATATAAGACGACTTTCTAAAGCATGCAAATCGTCTCCGAAGTCGGGGGTCGTCTTATACGCCAAGTCATCTTATATGCCGGAAAATACGGTACCAAAGATGAGAAACACTTGATACATACTCTTTCAAAACATCCAGGCAGGAACAAACATTAAAATATGATTCTTTTGCTTTCAAAGTAAAAATTACATTACTTGAGACTATGTAGCAAAAGGCTAACTCCCATCATAATCATTCCTGATCACCGACTACACTGGGCAACTTAAAAGCAAATGGGACCTCTGTCTTTTTGTATAATTTAGACCAGGAGTGTCAAACTGCCAGCCTGTCAGCCTGACGCATCACACAGAAGCTGCGCCCACCCCATTGCCGGCAATGGCAAAACAGTTCCGATATGTTACATGATGTCACATGAAGTCACGAGTTTTACAGGTCTGATTTAGACTGCCCCTTAATTCACACCTAAAGGCCTCTGGTTTCACACAAAAACAATATCTGAGTGGAAACCACTATCAGGTCACATATTTCGCAGCCTAGTGATGGATGTGAATATCTGCGGTGATGCAAATATATGGATATCTTAAAGATACCATGAGTCTGTCAAAAAAGGTTTCTCGAAATCTGATAAATCTCAGATCGAAAGCTTGCAATATGTCAGAGAAGAGTTATTTTAACATGACTTGGCAGCACACATAATCAGTCCATTCTTAAGAAAACTCTTGTTCAACCTCCTAGAAATGTAAAGTAGCTTGAAGTTCCCTAAATGTGAGATTTAGCTGCATTTTTAAAAAACTTAGCTTTGCACAATGATGTCAAGGCTAAATGCATTTTAAGACTCTGAGCAAAAGTAGAGCTGTGTTGCTTTCTGCAAACTTACAGAGAAACTGTGTTGCTCTTGATACAACTGAATAACTTAGCAATCATTTAGTCCCATGTGACGCAATCAAGAAGAAAGAAGTTTGACAATGTAGTTGTTCTAAACAAACACCAGAGGGCAGCAAAATAAAGGAGAAAGTGATGAAATGTTAGCATTGTCAACATTGTTTTTAGAACCATGTCCAACGTCTAGGCAACTGGAAGAAAGCATACAACAGATTGGAGAAAAAATAAATCCACATTCAGTTGGCTGCAGGGTGAAGGCACCCAGGCAACTATCTGAAATATCCTTAATAAATCTGAAGATACAGTAGTGCCATCCACTCAAACCCTGCCAACACTGACATGGTTTTCCTAACTTTGTTGAGATCCAAACACATAAGAGAAGAAGTAACAAAAGTGAATTTATTGAGACATAAAAGGCAACAGCCAATTCCTTCGATCATTTTGATCCTCAAACTATTTCTCGTTAGGAAACAAACTGGAGCCTGGGATGTTGTCCAATAGGGGCCAGTCTTCAGCAAAAAGGAGAAGTCCAGGACAGTCTACAAAAGAAAATGAAGGTACAAATGCTTTTAAAGAGTGGGTATTTTGTTTGCTGTAGCAACACTACTTCTGTGCATTTGTTGCAAATTCAACCACATATTAATCTTCCTAAGCTCATGATTATGCAATGTATCTACTCCCCTTCTCTCTAGACTACATATAGAAAATTTTGGAGCTTCCCACTCACAGCCATCAACCTCAAATTCCATGCTTTCTATGAAAGCAGTGACTGACACCATCAATTCAATGTGCTCGACGTTAGTTTGGAAATGCCACACAAGGCATGAACTCATACTATGTCCCACAGATGCATTATTTGCTTGAGGATAAGTAACAGAGTAAAGACAAATTAAGAGGAGCAAAATTAATCACAATTTCTGTGTGATAATTATATGTACTAATATTATATCCAGCATCAAGCAATCAATCTTATTACAGATCTATCTATCTATCTATCTATCTATCTATCTATCTATCTATCTATCTATCTATCTATCTATCTATCTATCTATCTAATCTATCTATTGTCGCTCCGCTGAGATAGGCAGCATATAACCTTGGTAAATAAAAATGTCTATTCATCCATTTATCTCAGAAAACAGTAACTGACAATACAAACATATGACAGATCTCAATCAACCACCTCAATTGTCCTGATCCCCTACTATGGGCCCAAGCCAACTGGAACATAGGTGCAAGGTTATTTGCGACATGCCAACATTGTTTCTCAACCCTGACAAGATGTATGAACTTCAAGTCCCAGAATTCCATACTCGGTCATGGGGAAATGTTGAAATCCACACAACTTAAATTTGCTACGGCTGAGAAGCACTAATCTACATTCTCTGTCAATGAAGCTGAGGTCGATGTTTCATGTAGTATTGCCTGTGGTAACAGCCCCTTATTTGGAGGGCAGCTTCAATCTGGATGATTTTAGAACTTCTAGTATCAGCATGCAGATCTAAATTTGGGGGAAGACTAATAGGCTCCCAGGGAATGTGATAAAAGACCAATATATGGAAAGCGTCAAAGAGTATTGTTCCACATGGTGTCTGTGGTACAGAGAATACTTCAACTAAAATACACCATTTAAAAATAACATGAACACTAAAAGAAGGAACACAGAAAAACACATGTGTTGTTGGGTGGTCTTGACTCCACCACCACCACCCAGCATCTGAAATCTCATTTTAAAAAGCTACTGATAATTAAAGAACATATGAAATGCTATAACAGTGTCTCCTACAAAATTTTCAGCTGGAACTGATCTAAGCATGACATTTTTGCAAAATGTCCCTCCTTCAGCACAAAACTGCCAATTCAAACATGAGATGGGTTGTTTATTTGAGGGGTGGATGGGAAGTGGAGAATTGGTGGCAGTTGCTCTGCACTCGAAACATTTCCAGGTTACTCTGTGTGGCAGGCTTCCCACTTTTAAGAGAGCAACGATTTGCTACCCAAAAAGGGACATTTCACAAAATTGCTCCTGAAACATTTTTGTAACCTCTTATCTTATTTTCTACAAGAAAATCTTCTCTTCTGAAAAATATCCCCCCCCCCCATACCAAAAAGGTGTACAGACCTCCTTCATCAGCCTACAAAATTGATGACTACGAGATGTAGGATTGTACTAGCAAAGAGAAAGTCTGCAAAGGCCCGTTCTGGTGAGATTCCTTGAAATTCTCCCTTGTTCTGTGGGTTGATTTGAATCCTCAAGCAAACTAAAGAAGAAAAAAAAGGGAGGAAAAACATGCTGTTTTAATGGAACACTGGAGGAAAAATATCACAAGAGAAATTGTAGGAAAAAGAACCTATTGTTTTTTACAAAAACTGTAAGAAGACTTGCTAGCCTGTGAAGAAAATACATTGTATATATTTCTAATTTTATGAGTGTGGCTGAAGTTTGGAAACTGCATGTAGGAGCTAGGACCAGAGGCCTTGCTATACTAAAAAACTGGTCTTAACCAGAATTTGCTGATTATGATTGTTACTCCAGAGATAACCCCCTAGGACACGGATCTTCAGACGTGGCCCTTTTATGACTTGTGGACTTCAATTCCCAGAATTCCTCAGCCAGGCATGCAGGCTGAGGAATTCTGGGAGTTGAAGTCCACAAGTCATAAAAGGGCCACGTTTGAAGACCCCTGCGCTAGGAACTAGCCATAAAAGGTAATTTGAAATAAGGGCAGGGGGCAATAGAATGTGAGGAATGGGAGATGTAACTAGAGGCGTGGAATAATGTATTCACTTTAAGTGTTTCAGATAAGTTGTGACGGCCTGACTACTAAGCCAATGAGGTAAATTTGCAACGGCAATAGGGAATATAAAAAATATTAATGATTTAAGGTGTGTCCACTGTACTTGTGTGTACGCGATACACCCTCTTTGCAAAGTAGTACAAATAAATTACCATTGTTTTCTCTTGGAAGTTTTGGCTGGGGATTGTTTATTTAAACTAGACAACGGATCCCACAGAATGAATGAGAAATGGTCTCATTTCTCACTCATAACCTTAAATTGGCTTTAGCATTTCAAGAATGCAATGCTAAAGCCAATGCAACCTGCAAGAAAGACACAGTAACCAATCTAATAAGGACTTTGTCATATCATGATACAGATTTAATTACACTGTGCAGGTTGCTCTCGACTTACAACCATTCATTCGAAGTTACAAAAAAATGATTTGTGTGTGGATTTTCACACAACTGTTGCAGCATCTTTATCATGACCCCATCAAAATTCAGGTGCTTGGCAACTGGCATATATTTATGACAGCTGTAGTGTCCCGTGTTCAGTTGACCATCATTTGTAACCTTCCCAGCCAGTTCCCAATAAACAAAAATCAATAAGGGAAGTTAAGAGTCGCTTAATGATCAAATGATTCACTTAACAATTGGAGTGACTGACTTAACAACTGCGGTAAGAAAGATCATATAAATGGGACAAATCTTGCTTAACAATGGAAAATCTGGGGCTCGGTTGTGGTGGTAAGTCAAGGACTAGGTGTATTTCCAAGTCTTTGTATATTCTCAGATTTCAAATTAAAATATCTCTAGTGAGGTTCTCAAATATAGCTCATACCATTGCTATGGCAACCACAAAACCTCGCCCCCTCATGGAGCCTTTTTCTGGAGGTTGCCACGGCGACATAAGGATACTCGGCCCCTCCCCCCGGTCGCTAAGGGGGGAGAGGCTGGGGGTTCGCAGTTACTATGGCAACGCCAGAGCGTCAACCAGCTGCGATGGTTGAAATCAACGGGTTGCCATGGGGACAGTCGCGCCTGCGCAAAACACACTGGCTTTCCCCGACCCGGTCAGAAAGTGCCTCACCGCCCAGGATGAAGCTGCCCACGGCCGAGATGAAGCCGGAGAGGAAGGAGTTGAAGGGGAAGGTGCCGACGCCGAGGCAGTAGCCGAATTGCAAGGCCCCCGTTAGCATGACGTAGAGCAGATAGGCGTCCAGCACCTTCAGGCGGCTCGGCGTCCCGCTGCTGTACTCGCCTAGGAACCGTCTCACCACGGAGGTCACCGAGCTGGCCCCGGAGCCGGACGACCCAGAAGCCGAACCAGACATAGCGACGGCGGATACGCTGCCCAGATTTCGCTTGCTTGGGTGGCCGGAAGCGAGCTAAAGCTTCCGGGGTCGCTTTGGGACACGCGAATGCGTAGCATAGAAGCCGCGGCTCTCCCAAGGTCAACGCAGTGTGGGCAGAGTGGTACGCATGCGTAAACGTCAACCTTTGGCCGTTGACGCATGCGTGGGATAGTCTGATGAGCCGAGAAACGGTATTGGCTAGGAATCTCTTTCTACGCATGTGTGGTACAGTCATCATTGCGCGTGCGCTTTTGGTTCTGGCCCTGGAATAACAATGACTGAATTGATGCTCAGTGGGTGTGTGCTTTAAAAGAAATTAAAAAGCAACATTTTCATGCATTTGGATTTGAAGTCTCCAGCTAAAAGGGTGTGGGGGGATAAATTCCTCCAAGAGTTATAATGCAAAAATATGTGTAAAAAAAGAATTTAAAAAACCATCGGCAATATACTTTATAAAAGCATGAAGTAGCATTAACTACATGTTTATGGAAATTCTCATGGTTGTCCCAGACTTTGTTTTTCCTTGAAGACCTTTCTCTTCTTATCCAAGAAGTTTTTTTTTTCAGTACAGAACTGAAGAAGCTTCTTGGATGAGCAGCGAAACGTCTTCAAAGAAAATCAAAATCCAGTTGCCTCCTGAAAAAAAGCATTTTGGGACAAACATGACCTGGATGACTGAGAATCTCCATAGACATTAAAGCCTGCCTCTTGGGCGCACGTAAAGATCGAGCCGCTTCTCTCTTGCAGAGGACACACGGGAATCGCTCCCTTTCGGGGGGGGGGGGGAGTGAGCTTGGCTGCAATAGCATCTGTCCCCAGCTGGGCCAATCCCCATCCCCTCCCGTCAATCAAGCCACCCAGGCTCCTCCCCCTCTTTGTGATGCCTCCCCCTCCTGCCCACCCGCTTTGCTCCTCCCTCGCACTGATCGCCCCCCCAGGCAGGAGGGAGCACCAGGGAGGGCTGCCGCGCTCTCTTTTGGCGCTTCCCTCCCGCCCCCGCCCTTCCCTCCATTCAAAGCCCAGCAGGAACGTTCCACAACCTTTTTCCCCGCCCATCCCATTCATAAAATGCAAGCCCCGCCCCGCCCCTGCCAGAAACTGGGCACGCCCCCGTTCTGAACGACCCCGCCTTCCCGCCCAGCTGTTGCAATGCGTTCCTTCGTGAGGAGCCATGGAAGAAGACCTTGAGCCGTCGTAAGTCTGGGCCGGGTGTCTGGCCCGGGTTTCCGGCCGGGCGGGTGGGTAGAAGAGCCTGACGTGGGGCTGCCCCGCCTTTCTGGGGTTTCCTGGGGAGGGGTCTTCCCCAAAGTGGGAGGGGGAGGAAGCATTCAGATCGCTTGCAACGTCTGGAGGGCCCTTGTCCCATCAGACGTAGGGCTGATGGCAGGAGAAAGCAGGGTAAACGATTGTTGCTTAGGCCCCGGATTGTGTAATTGTGTGTTTGAGGTGGTGGCTGGTGGGCATGGATTTGTTCTATTTGTTTCTTTGATGATTGTCATTGTCAACATTTGGCTCAGCAAGGCTCTCTTGGCATTTTACATTTGCCCTATCTATCTGATGCCATCTAATACCTTCGCTTCCTTCCTAGTTGCACAGCTTGTTCTGGCTCTCGATTGTTGTGCGGTGTGTTCTGCTTTCCCGTGCTCGCGGGTGTTAAATCCTGAGTCATGGTTACAAAACTATCCCGAGCAGCTGATAAACTTCCCAGCCGGGCAGGAATTGAAATAACGGATAGCTGAACAAAACTGCTTCAATAGGAGGGCGAATTGTAATAATAACGGTGGTGGAAAGAGAGAGAGAGAGAGAGAGAAAAAAGCAGAAAACAAACCATAACAGCCTCAATTAGTCTTTGGGTGGCTATTAAAACATGTAAATGATGATGGGGATAAAGGAATAAAAAATGAAGAAGTGAAAGTGCTCTGGGACCCCAAAATTCAAACTGACAAACACCTGTTGCTATGCTTAAAAATTGTTGATAAGAAAGACCCCCCCCCAAAAAAAAAGTCTGGATAGTGGACCTGACAGAGCCTGGAGACAGCAGAATAAAAGAGAAAGAACTGGAGAAAATAACACAATATAAAGACCTGCTAATAGAAGTAGTAAGATTTGTGGCAAAAGAAAGTAGGCTAAAAGAATGAAAGGGAGCTGGTTTGATTTAGTAGTTAAGGCACCAGAAAAGAAAACTAAGAGACCTTGAGTTCGAGTCCTGCCTTAGGCATGAAAGCCAGCTGGGTAACTTTGGGATAGTCATTCTCAACCCAACCCACCTCACAGGACTGTTATTATAGGGAAAATAGGAGGAAGGAGTATCGGCTATGTTCACCATCTTGAGTAATTTATAATGAGAGGAAAAAAATATTCTTAAAAATACTTTTAAAGAGATAGTACCACTACTAATAAGCCCCTTGGATACAATCCTAAAACATCTGGAACATCACTTGAGTACTGTGGGCATTAACAAAAGCATCAGCCAATTGCAAAAGGCAGCTTTACTTGGAACAAGTTACATCCTGTGAGAATACAGAATAACAAAGCCGGAAGGGACAGTTCAGCCTCCTGTTAAAACCAAGAGACCCTATACCATTTCAGATAAATGATTGTCCAATCTCTTCTTAAAAACCTCCAGTGTTGGAGAACCCACAGCTTCGGGAGACAAGTTATTCCACTGATTAATTGTTCTAAGTATTAATACCTTTAGTATTATTATCCAACAACATTAGCCTAAGCCAGGTCCTTCGGAAGGACTCGATAGTGTGATAAAATGCCAAATCCAGTCTAAGCAACTGGCTGGCTGCGTGCGACCAATTATAATTATAGTAATTGTTATTTATTATTATGGGTGTCAAACTCCCTTTTGAATTGGGGAAGATTTCCTGGGAGGCTCTGAGACTTGATAAAGAAGATCAAATATGGTTTGTTCAAAGAATCTTTGTAATCTCCCATATTTGATTTCTCAGCCATAATGCAGGGTTTTAAGATTTGGGGGTTAAGCTTGCCTTTGTCAGTACAAGCAGGCTGGTAAGAAGGCAGATTGAAATGCAGCTGATTTTTATCCTCTGCCAGCTTCTAGATAGTGCCAAGAAGAGGCCTTGCACCGGGGACTAGCATGGACAAAATAAAACACCACAAAAGCGTGACCAAAACAGTTTAAAGGCAAAGAAAGGAAGGCAGGCAGCCTGGATCTGGGTCCTTGGGATTCAATAAAGGAGATTAAGCACTGCCCTCCAAATTATTTTCTGTTGCTAGGATTTCCGTGATTCTTCTTCGCATGGAGAAAGTGACTTTTCTCCCTGGTTGAATAAAAATAAAATTCAGGAAGGATCCTTTAGAGTCTGCTAGTTCCTCCGCCCAAGCCTTAGGCAAAACGGCTGGCATTTTGTGAAGCCCAGGCCAGTTTCATTTCTAAGGGAAAAAGGCAGAGAGTCAAACCCAAACTGGGAAGTGATGTAGCTCTTTCAAGGCCAGTTTGACGGCTGGGGACTTGCCGTATGCGGTGAAAGGGAGAAAACCCTCCATGTATGCTCAGAGGCCTTTGCAGGGTTGTGTGTTGTTTTAAAACCTCGCAGGGTTGTTATTGTAGGGAAAAATAGGAGGAGGAAGGTGGGTTTCATATGTTTGCCACCCTGAGTTATTTGTAAAAATAAAAGTGGGATACAAATACTGTATCGAATACTGCAGTCAATTCTGGTCACCATATCATAAAAAAAGATGTTGAGAGTATGGAAAAAATACAGAGAAGAGCAACTAAGATGATCCAAGGCCTGGAGACCAAAATATATGAAGAACGGCTGCGGGACCTGGGTTCGGCTAGTCTAAAAAAAAAGAAGAAATAGGGGAGACATGATAGCAGTGTTCCAGTATCTGAGGGGCTGTCCCAAGGAAGAAGGGGTCACATTGTTCACCAAAGCACCAGACGGAAGGACGAAAAACTATGGCTGGAAACTGATCAAAGAGAGAAGCAACCTGGAATTAAGGAGAAACTTCCTGACAGTGAGGATAATCAACCAGTGGAACAGCTTACACCCAGAAATCGTGGGTGCTCCATCACTGGAAATCTTTAAGAAGAGACTGGATAATCATCTGTCCAGGAGGCTGGACTAGAAGATCTCCAAGTTCTATTCTATTCTATTCTATTCTATTCTATTCTATTCTATTCTATTCTATTCTACTCTACTCTACTCTACTCTACTCTACTCTACTCTACTCTACTCTATTTTCTCCTCTCTTTCTATTCTATTCTATTCTATTCTATTCTACTCTATTCTACTCTACTCTACTCTACTCTACTCTACTCTACTCTACTCTACTCTACTCTATTTTCTCCTCTCTTTCTATTCTATTCTATTCTATTCTATTCTATTCTATTCTATTCTATTCTATTCTATTCTATTCTATTCTATTCTACTCTATTTTCTCCTCTCTTTCTATTCTATTCTATTCTATTCTATTCTATTCTATTCTATTCTATTCTATTCTATTCTATTCTATTCTACTCTACTCTACTCTACTCTATTTTCTCCTCTCTTTCTATTCTATTCTATTCTATTCTATTCTATTCTATTCTATTCTATTCTATTCTATTCTATTCTATTCTTATTTTATTCTATCCTATCCTATCCTATTCATTAGGAATTTCAGGAATTGGGTATATCTAGTGTAATGAAAAGAAGAATAGGGAGTGATATGATAGCAGTGTTCCAAATTTGAGGGGTTGCCACAAAGAAGAGAAGGTCAACCTATTCTCCAAAGTACCAGAAGGCAGGACAAGAAGCAATGGATGGAAACTAATCAAGGAGAAAAGTAACCTAAAACTAAGGAGAAATTTCTTGACAGTGAGAACAATTGATCAATGGAATGACTTGCCTTCAGAAATTGTGGGTGCTCCATCACTGGAGGCTTTTAACAAAAGATTGGAGAATCATGGCATAGGAATTCCTGCTTGAACAGGGGGCTAACTAGAAGACCTCCAAGGTCCCTTCCAACTCTGTTATTCAGTAATGATGATGATGATGATGATAATAATAATAATATGATAATGATAATAATATACTCTCATTAGCTCCAAGGCATTTTTGAGCTGCTTTGGATCAGAGAACAAGATATGTAAGGTAATCTCATACTGGATAAAAAGGGATTTTTTTTATATATATTCAGGTGTGTTAATAAATAATAAACTTCTGGAAATGATTAGGGGAATTAGAAGAGAGGGATTAAGGGTTGACTTTCTGCAGTTGGGTCCCTAGAAAGATGATGTAAAATGATCTTATCTGTGTTCACATTGACCCGGGACTCGGAAGTGATTCAACAGAAATTTAAATAAGTAATTCAACCTTCAGTTTGACCCCTGGCATGGATTTGTAACACTATAGTCTTGTTTTCTTGCTAGCTGGCTGGCTTTTTTGTGTGTGTGTGTGCGCGTGTGTGTGTGTGTGTGTGTGTGTGTGTGTGTGTGTGTGTGCATGCTTGGATTAATTTTGGAAGTGAGAAGGGGAGCCACTTCCCTTGTTTTAATGTAATCTTTTTCCTAGTTTGTGATAGGCAAAGGAGATCCCAAAGATGCTTTGTCAGGAGGCAACTGGACTTTCTTGTTTTTCTTTGAAGGCTTTAGCTGCTCATCCAGATTTGCTTAATGACTGGGCGACTCACTTAACTGCAGAGATTATCTGAAGAATTGCTTCAAGAAAGGTCATAACATTGAGTGCAATTCACTTAACAAATGCTGGTCTCAGTTGTGGACATTGAGTGTTCAAATGCGCTGGTTAATTGCTTCTTTTTAAAAATTGTGAACTTCCTTCTTTCCTTCCATCCATCACTCTTTCCTTCTATCCATCCAACTTTCTCTCTGTTCCTCCCTCCCTTCATTCTCTTTAATCCTTCCCTCCCTCCCTCCTCTTCTATCTCCTTCCTTCTCTTCATTCCCATCTCTTCCTTCCTTCCTTCCTTCATTCCTTCTCTCCCTCCCTCCTATCTTCTGTCTCCTTTCTTCTCTTCATTCCCATCTCTTCTCTCCCTCCTTCCTTCCTTCTCCTCATTCCTATCTTCTTCCTTCTACTCATTCCTCTCTGCCCTCCCTCCCTTCCTCCCTTCTTCCTTCCTTCCTTCCTTCCTTCCTTCCTTCCTTCCTTCCTTCCTTCCTTCCTTCCATGTTGAACTTAACATTCAAAGTTTCAACAGGGTGCATGTCCGAACTGAGTATTCACTTCATTTGTATGCCTGCCACCCTGAAAGCTGCAAGAACAGCTTGTCCTTTATTGTAGCATAAGTCTTTCATTGTTTTCCTTCCCACCCCCCGCTGCAAACTGGATAGAAAGAACAGCCGAGAGATAAAGAAGGAAGACTCTGTTGCACACATCTTGCCCCACTTGTGTGTCTGCGTGGAAGACCCCCCTTTCTGACTGATTGGCTGACTTTTGCAGAGGTTTGCATCTGTGTGCAGGTGTGCATGCATTATCCACCCACCGGTGCAGTTCCTGGATTCAGCTGGGGAAGGAAGGAGACAACATTCACCATCTCTGCCCTGAGCAATGGTGCCACTTGGGACTCCTATAATTGATTGTAGTTTTTTTTTTCTTTTCTTTTTAAGACCTTGTAATCCCCTGCTTTGGGGTGAGCATTTACTGGCTGGATGCCCTTCCTGATGCCTACGTGGCGTTCCCAGCAGATATTTTCTCTTTGCGCCCTGATAGAGAAGCATCTGTCACTTTCTAGGATTGAACTCTCAACCTTCCGAGTGGAAGGCGAGCATCTTCACCCCTAGGCCACTACAGCCACTCATATAATGGATTGTGGTGTCCTCTTCAAAATGAAGCCTCAGGCTGAGAGACTTTGATTCAGATCTCTCTGTCTTGAAGCTCACTACAAGTAGGCCTTGACTTATGACTGAAATTTGAGCCAATAATTTCAGTCATAAGTCACAGCGGTCATTAAGCGGGTCACCACCTGGTTTTGTGACCTTTCCCCCCCTCGTAGTCGTTATGCAAACACTGCAGTCATGAAGTGAACTTTGCAGTCGTTACACAAACACCACGGTTGTTAAGCAAATCCATTTTCTTCAATGGAAGATTTTTTTGCCAGAAATTAATGGTGGAAACCGGTAAAAAAGAAATGCCAAAAATTGCGGTCACTTGACCACAGGAAACGCCAATGGCCATAAGTGTGAGTCAGTTGCCGAGCACCCAAAATGTGATTACATGACAGCAAGTGTGTCTGTGTGTGTGTGTGTGTGTGTTCGTCACTGTCAGAACTCCAGAACCAGCTCTTAATTAACTCTGAGGAGATCCGTTGTAATTTTGATCAGTCACTAAGTGAGTGTTCATTAAGGGAGGACTATCTGTAACTGGAGTTAAACTTCCTTTCACCAAAATGGTGAAAGTCGATAACATTCAGGCTATAGAATGAAGTGTGGAATAATGTTGGGTTATGACAGGGGTAGGCAACCTTGGCTCTTTTATGACTCGTGGACTTCAAAGCTGGCTCAGGAATTCTGGGAGTTGAAGTCCACAAGTCATAAAAGAGCCAAGGTTGCCTACCCCTGGGTTATGACATGGTGGACATTTCAAAGCCACAGAGGCCTTTGATGAATTATCATTGTTTTTTCAAGGATGGTAGCTTAGTGTTCTGTTTCCTTGGATTATGGTTAAGGTTTTACACACTAAGCCTGAGAAAATCTGGCCTCAGATTCTAAGTTTACATATTTTACTGGATGACTATAAGTAGAAGAATTTATCTATGGGGTTATAAGGCAGTTGACAATCTTGACAAGTCTAGAAGAAAAGGATATATAAATGCAGCTAATAACAAAGGAAAACAATGCATTGTCTTTCTATAATCAAATGGGAGAATTGATGAAAGATCATTAAATTTATTTATCTCCTGCTTTTACTTTGTACAACTCATAGTATCATGCATAATGCGCCTAGGGCCTTCTGCTCTCAGGTCTAAATCCTCTAATTAAATGAATTAAATTAAATTCTCAATGAATGTAGAGATGTCCAGAGTTACTTATCAAGCATTTCTCAATAACTCACAAAAAGCATTATTTGCTTGGAAGTGACCTAGCCTCTCTGTAAGATTAAAGCTTCAAGGAATGGGATCCTTCAAAGAAAGCCTACTGCCTTTTTTCCTTCTTGAAAAACCTGGTGGCACCAGAATCTGTTGATTGGTGAGATTCCATGGACAGTCTACTACCTATGCAGTTCCAAAAAGTGACATGGAGTAAAATGTATGACATTAATTTCTGTCTATCAAAATGGAAACATTTTCTTCATTTATCTGTCAAAATACAGTAGATCTTCCTTCCTTCCTTCCTTCCTTCCTTCCTTCCTTCCTTCCTTCCTTCCTTCCTTCCTTCCTTCCTTCCTTCCTTCCTTCCTTCCTTCCTTCCTATGGTTTCCCTGTTTAGCTCTTTCCCTTACTCCTGCCTTCATTCTTGGGGCCAACTAAGGTTTTTCTTAGATTAGAACAGGGGTATTAAACTCAATTTCATTGAGGGCCGCATCACATTGTGGTTGCCCTCGGGGAGCCGGGTGGGTGTGGACAGGGTGGGCGTGGCCTACTGGGTGGGCATGGCTGGGGTGAGTGTGGCCTACTGGGTGGGCATGGCCAGCTCTACATCCTTCACATCAATGGTGCCTGTGGGGGCCTGGGCAGGAGTGGGACAGATCTGAGGGTCTTTGGCAGATGGGGGTGGGACCGGGGCAGGCACCAAGACATGGTCCACTGGAGGAGCCTCACTGTCCTTCTCAGGCCATGTGGGGGGGGCTGGATGGTGGCGTGGGCTTCCCAGAGCCCTGGGCAGCAGAGGTCAAACGCCCAGCCCAGCCCTCGAGCTCCTGTGGCACCAAGTCCAGCCCCACTTCTCCAAGGGGGTGCCCAGCTGTGCTTACCTCCTCCTCAAGGCTGCTGCTGCTGTGCTTGCTGCTCTTAGCCAGGTTGCTCAAGATGGGTGTGAGGGCAAAGTCAGATGGAAGTCCACTCCCTCTCCATGTGAGGAGGCCTGGCTTTGTATCCAAAGCATCCTTAACAATAGGATGGGAGACCCCCAGGATAGGCCAGGAGGAGGGGGCAAGGGGATGGTGAAAGGGCAGTAGGATAGAACTAAGGCAGGACTTCCATCAGACCCTCTCCTTCCTTCCTTCCTTCCTTCCTTCCTTCCTTCCTTCCTTCCTTCCTTCCTTCCTTCCTTCCTTCCTTCCTTCCTTCCTCCCTCCCTCCCTCCTTCCCTCCCTCCCTCGCTCCCTCTGTCCTGTTCTGTCTTATCCTATTAACAAATAAAAGAGTTAACTAACACACCTCCTATTGTCCCCACAACAACCTTGTGAGGTGAGTTGGGCTGAAAGAGAGTCACTGGCCCAAAGTCACTCAGCTGGCTTTCATGACTGAGGCAGGATTAGAACTCACCGTCTCCTGCTTTTTAGCCTGGGGCCTTAACACTGAACCAAACTTGGCTCTCTGTTTATTCTTATACTTCCTATTCCTTCCTTATCATTCTCCATGTTTGCTTTGTCCCTTAAACAAATTTTAAAAATGATTTTTTTAAAAAAAATAATAACTCCATAATAGGTGGAAGTTGGAAAACCATGTGTTTATATATATATATATATGTATGTATGTATGTATGTATGTATGTATGTGTATATATATATATATATATATATATATATATATATATATATATATATAACCTACAGTTGGTGGACCCCCACCCCCATAGTAAGACACAGGGAAATATTGGATTGAATCCTCCCTCCGATATGACAGGTATCAACACCATCGAAAGAGGAGGAGATGTAAGGTTACTAACGCCTCCGGAAACCAACAGCGGAAGGATAGGGAAGGGAATTTGAAGGAATGATAAAAAAGAACAAAACGCTACAGACATATTCCGATCATCAGCTGGTCAATCAGGGCCAGTGACACGGTCTAAGAGCCGTGCGCAGACGTTGACTGAGCCCACTCAAACCACCCTTGTTGGAACGGCCTTTTTAGCCTTGATGATGTTGGGGAGTTTCCCCCAATGAAAGCCTGGCAACTTTTTAGCATAAGTAAAGTATATTTTTAGTAAAGTATTTTTTACTTGAAACCCTCCCGGTGATCGTGTTTTATTTGTTTTATTCATATATATATATATACATATATACATATATATACATATACACATATATACACATATACACATATACACATACACACACACACACACACACACACACACATATATATATATATATATATATATTTGTGCAATCTAAAAAAAAAGAGAAACTACAGGAATCCTATACAGGAAGAGAAGACAAGCAATAAGATGCACACGCTCAACAGATCAAGAGTTTATGAAGTTATATAGCCGAAAGAAAATGAAAAGAATAAAATAAACCAACCAAAAATAACCTTGAAAGTATAGTATAGTAAATTGATGTAAGTCACCAAAATGTATCACATGGGTGTGCCATCATTTAATCACAAAGTTGGAATTGCAAGTATTTGAAGAACACCGAGTTGGGAAATGTCTCTATGGAGACGTTCTCGGTCATCCAGGACATGGTCATCCCAAAAGTGATTTTTCAAGAGGCAACTGACTTTCTTGTTTTTGTTTTCTTTGAAGACGTTTCACTCTGCTCTGCGCTGAAGAAGCTTCTTGGATGAGAAGCGAAACGCCTTCAAAGAAAAACAAGACAGTCCAGTTGTCTTGGGAAGATTCATTTAGCCTCTTCATTGAATTGTAATTATTCTCATTCTTTGTTTCCCAATCTGGAGAGAGCATAAGCTTTTGGATATGACAGTGTGGTGAGAGCAGGTTGTTGGAAAGAGCCCTCTTTTGCCAGTTGGATCAAGGACTATTTAGCTGTCTCGTTTCCTTTATCCATGTTTGCTAGATAGCTCTAATCATGTTCTCCTCATGGTCTCCTGTTCTTCCTACAGGTCCCAAGGTTGGCTAGGTGGTTGGTTGCCAGCCTGGCGGCCCACATCTATGTCTCACCTCAAGAATGTGGAAGCTCGGATCCTGCAGTGTAAGAATGACTTGTCTGTTCATTTTCCTATCCCCCTATGAGAAGTGTTGGCTGCACCACCTCTATGGAGGTTTTCCCTTGTTGCTAACCATTGCTCATAATATACCTAGTCCTCGAACTTACGACCATAGCTGGAAACCAGAATTCCCATCACTAAGCAAGAAGGTAGTTCAGGGAGTCCCAAAGTTGCCTTTTTCAGGAGGCAACTGGACGTTCCCTGTTTTCCTTTGAAGACGTTTTGCTTCTCATCCAAGAAGCTTCTTCCGCGCTGGCTGGATGGTGGGGAATGGAAGGATTTATACTCCTTGCAGACAGCTGGTCGTTTGACTTCTTTTAGAGCAGCGGTTCTCAACCTATGGGTCGCGACCCCATTTGGGGTCGATCGACCATTTCACGGGGATCGCCAAGCAAGGCTGTCCGCCATTTTTTTCCCCTTTTCCGGCGGGTGCCTTACCTCCCTTGGGCTGGGCCAGCTGGTGGCCCAGACGGTGGTCAGCCTGCTCTGTCTCTGCTGCTTGCCAGCTACACCTCGGCCAGCGCAGGGGGCGGCACTATGCATGCGCGGCGCTCCCGGGCAGGGTAAGTCCTCGACTTATGACCGGTTGGGTAGTCCTCAACTTACGACCGGTTTAGTCCTCGACTTACAACCGGTTGGGGATTGCGGCATTAAAAAGGTTGAGAACCACTGTTTTAGAGAATCGTTGAGGCCACTCGGAGTTTTGTCTGTGTCCTCAGGGTCACCTGAGTGGTGCAAATGGGTGTGGGGCCTTCTTGGCTGAAGGAAGTTTTCTGCCCTGGGTCCGTTCATGGTTGAAGACAGGCGCAGGCTGTTGGGGGATGAATCTGTGTTGTCTGCCTCTCAAACTGAAGCGCAGGTGGTCCCTGTAGTCTGCAATGTTTTCTGGAAATCCGTTCATACTCCCACACCATCCAAAGGGTGTCCATCCCCAACTGCATAGCTAAATGTCTATGGAGTTTCTCAGTCATCCATACTTTTTTCAGGAGGCAACTGGACTTGCTTTGTTTTTCCTTGAAGACATTTCGCTTCTCATCCAAGAAGCGTCTTCAACTCTGACTGGATAGTGGGGAATGGAAGGATTTGGAAGGATTTACCACCATCCAGTCAGAACTGAAGAAACTTTCTTGGATGGGAAGCAAAACGTCTTCAAGGAAAAACAAAGGAAGTCCGGTGGTCTCCTGAAGAAGCACCTTTGGGACAACCATGAACTGGATAATTGAGAATCTTCATAGACATTGTTAAGTGAGTTGTGCCCTATTTAATGACTTTTTTTTTGGCCATGGTTCCTAAGCAAACCCCTGCAGTTGTTAAATGAATCACCTGGTCATTAAGCGAATCCAAGCTTCCTCCACTGAATTTGCTTGTTGGGAAGGGTTGTAAATGGCGATCACATCCAACTGTTGTAATTACATGCTGGTTTTCAAGCGTCCAGATCTTGACTAAGTGACTGTAGGGATGCTACAATGGTCATATGTGTGAGGATAGATCATAAGTGTGAGGACCAGTCATAAGATAGGATTTTTAACTGCTTTTGTATCTTTGAATGGTCACTAAACAAAGAGTTGTTAGTTGAGGACTTTCCATAGTGGTCACTAGCATCTTTAAATGATCCTTGTGGATTTTTAGACTCACAATCAATTTACGACTGCCTAAGGTTGTGTGTGAATATGTTTTGTAAAGAAGGTGGAACATTTTTCCTTTGTTTTCCAACACTCCAGCTGCTTGTGAAAACAGATTTTCTGTTCTTGAGTGGCAGAAAGAAGACAGTGGGAGAATCCCCTCGAAAAGTTTTAATCCTATCAAAAGCTTTTGAAATGCAGCAACTGATGTGGCTTTAAAAGCCGGCTGAACACCTTCCCATGTGTGTTAAGTTAGCCCAACTCCCCAACAGGGTGCCTGCATTTTAGATTTAAAAATGACCACAGATTAAACAACAACAACAACAAAAAGCTTGCATGAGCCAACAGAATAAAAATCTGAGGCATGCTTGTGGGAAATTTGCTTGAAGACCTTGCATTTTACCTCTGTCCAATTCTAATTCTGAAGTTTTGGGCAGTTTGGATGCTCTAACGCTTGCTGTTGTGTGGAGCCGGTATAAAAACATCCCTTTTCCTGAATCTGGCTTAGCAAGGATGGCAGTCTTTGGAGGGCAAAGATCTTAACAGAATTTATAATAAAATAACAGAGTTGGAAGGGACCTTGCAGGTCTTCTAGTCCAACCCCCTGCTCAAGCAGCAGACCCTATACCATTTCAAACAAGTGGTTGTCCAATCAATTCTTGAAAACCTCCAGTGATGGAGCATCCACAAGTTGTTCCACTGATTAATTGTTCTCACTATCAGGAAATTCCTCCTTAGTTCTAGGTTGCTTCTCTCCTTGTTTAGTTTCCATCTGTTGCTTCTTGTCCTTCCCTCAGGTGCTTTAAGGAGAATAGGTTGATCCACTCTTTTTTTGTGGCAGCCCTTTAGACACAGGTAGTTCTCCACTTAACAACGGTTCATTTAGTGGCTGTTCGAAATTACAACAGCAAAAGTAAAAGTTACGACCACTTTTTGCACTTAAGACCGTTGCTGCATCCCCATGGTCACGTCATCAGAATTTGGATGCTTGGCAACTGACACGTACTTACGATGGTTCTGTGTCCTGGGATCATACGATCCCCTTTTGTGAATTTCTGATGAGCAAAATCAATGGGGAAGCCAGATTCAGTTCACAACTGTCTTGCTAACTTAATAACTGTGGTGATTCACTTAACAACTGTGGCAAGAAAGGTCGTAAAATGGGGCAAAACTCACTTAGCAACTGTCTCACTTAGCAACATAATTTTCGGGCTCCCTTGTCTTGAGCTGAGGGCTACCTGTATTGTATTAGGTCACCCCCCCCCAGTCCTGTATCTTGTTCTCTACCGGATCGCTCCCATTCCTTTGGGCTTCCAAGCAGCTGGAACCACTGGATTTCGAGATGTTTTGGCCCCTACGTACTAAACCCCTTGCTTCTCCTGCTTTTTCCCCAGGCCTCCAGAACCGATTTGTGGCCCGCTACGTGCCTCTCCCGAACCAGGCCAAAATCTGGACCATCTCGCTGTCACCACAATGGGGCAAGGGTCGTACCCCTTTGGTGATGGTGCACGGCTTTGGGGGTGGCATCGGGCTTTGGATCCTCAACCTGGACTCGCTGAGCCACCGCCGTCCCCTCCACGCCTTTGACCTCTTGGGTTTCGGGCGCAGCTCCCGGCCCCCGTTTCCCCATGACGCCCAAGGGGCTGAGGAAGCGTTTGTGAGCTCCATCGAGGCCTGGCGTGAGGAGATGGGCATCCCCAACATGATCTTGCTTGGCCACAGTTTGGGCGGGTTCCTGGCAGCCTCGTACAGCTTGCAGTACCCAGAGAGGTAAGCCCACCCTTCTACCTGGTTCACAGGTAATCACCTTTCTGTAGGTTCAATCACTTCCCCCCTTTGGACTGTCTCATCTAGTGAGCGATCTGGGACCCCAAGTGCTTTTTCTAAGTCAAGATAAACAGAGTGTGACCTGTGACTTCTGTGTATGTGTGCATGTGTGTGTGTGTGTGTGTGTGTGCACGCATTGTTGCAAATATATGCAAATGGTTTGCTAAGATCCTTTTTGCATCTCAGGTTGAGTGGATCTAAAACGTGGGCCTGTTTTTGCTTCTGAAAGAGCCAGTTTAGTCTAGGGCAGTGGTTCTCAACCTGTGGGTCAGGACCCCATTTGGGGTCGAATGACCATTTCACGGGGGTCGCCAAACAACGTAGTCCGCCATTTTTTCCCCCTTTTCCTTAGCTGTGCTACTCCCTTTTATTCTGTTGGCTTTTGAAAGCCAATAGAATAGACTCTCTTGAATAGAGTCTAATTCTATTGGCTTTCAAAAGCCAATAGGAATTGTCCAGGCTGTCTCTGCCCTGCTGAGCCCGCCAAAAGTCCCATTCTGCAAACGGTGCTGCACCAGTTGAGTAGTCCTCGACTTACAACCAGTTGAGTAGTCCTCGACTTACGACTGGTTGGGGGTCGCAGCATTAGAAAGGTTGAGAACCACTAGACTCTAGTGCAGCGGTTCTCAACCTATGGGTCGCGACCCCATTTGGGGTCGAACGACCATTTTACGGGGGTCGCCAAACAACGCGATCCGCCATTTTTCCCCCTCAGGGGGTGGTGCCGCGCATGCGCGCTGCGCGTGGGGCGGCGCCGCGCATGCGCGGCGCGTCCGTGTGACGGGGGTCGCCGTCACACAAAGATTGAGAACCGCTGCTCTAGTGGTTAAAGCACCAGGTTAGAAAGCAGGAGACGGTGAGTTCAAGTCCCATCTTATCCATGAAAGCCAGCTGGGTGACTTTGAGCCAATTCCCAGGAGACACTGAGTTCTAATCCCGCTTTAGGCATGAAAGCCAGCTGGGTGACTTTGAGCCAATCCCCAGGAGACACTGAGTTCTAGTCCCGCCTTAGGCATGAAAGCCAGCTGGATGACTTTGGGCCAGTCACTCTCTCTCAGCCCAACCCACCTCACAGGGTTGTTGTGGGGAAAATAAGAGGAGGAAGGTGTGTTGGTTATGTTCGCCACCTGGAGTTATTTGTAGAAATAATAAAGGCAGGATACAAATAAATAAAATAAAGAGGATGCTATAATCCTTGCAGCTTTTGGATGCCGTCTATTTCAGCCCTTACATTTCTTGCCTGCCAGGATTGAGGTCCTCCCCAGTTTTAATTGTGTGGCCCTCCTCACGCTGTGCCAACCTCTGGCTGATGGCAGTTGTGTTTCCTCCAGGAGATACATCATTAGTAGGAAAGTTGTGGTCTTGTGAGGCAATTGCCAGGCATCAAGACTGACTTGAAGAAGCAAAAAGAAAGTAAGAAAAAAAAACCAAGAAAAAAAAAATTGTATGGTTCACCTATCAGAGCCGAATGAAAGACGATGCTAAGCAATTCAGAAATCTTCCCCAAACTGCCTTTGTTTAGCAACCTTAATATAGAACATTTGTTGCTTCTCTTAGATTGGGGTAGGCACCCTTGGCTCTTTTATGACTTGTGGACTTCAACTCCCAGAATTCCTGAGCCAGCATGGCTCAGCTTGGAAACCTCTCCCTTTCCCCTCAGCGTGGCTGGCTCAGGAATTCTGGGAGTTGAAGTCCATGAGTCATACAAGAACCAAGTTTGAAGACCCTTGTCCTAGACCAGTGTTTCTCAACCTTGACAATTTTAAGGCATGTGGATTTCAATTCCCAGAATTCCACAGCCAGCAATGCTGGCTGTGGAATTCTGGGAGTTGAAGTCCACATGCCTTAAAATTGTCAAGGTTGAGAAACACTGTCCTAGACAGTCACTTCTCTGAAATGATATAGGACAGGGGTAGGCAACCTTGGCTCTTTTTGTGACTCGTGGACTTCAACTCCCAGAATTCCTGAGCCAGCATGGCTCAGCTTGGAAACCTCTTCCTTCCCCTCAGCGTGGCTGGCTCAGGAATTCTGGGAGTTGAAGTCCACGAGTCATAAAAGAGCCAAGGTGGCCTACCTCTAGCCTAGGCCTAGGCCAGGGGTAGGCAACCTTGGCTCTTTTATGACTCGTGGACTTCAACTCCCAGAATTCCTGAGCCAGCATGGCTCAGCTTGGAAACCTCTCCCTTTCCCCTCAGCGTGGCTGGCTCAGGAATTCTGGGAGTTGAAGTCCACGAGTCATAAAAGAGCCAAGGTGGCCTACCCCCGCCCTAAGATGAGAGGTGAATCTATAGAGCTAGATAAAGCACAATACCCCTAGATTAGGGGTAGGCACCCTTGGCTCTTTTATGACTCGTGGACTTCAACTCCCAGAATTCCTGAGCCAGCATGGCTCAGCTTGGAAACCTCTCCCTTTCCCCTCAGCGTGGCTGGCTCAGGAATTCTCGGAGTTGAAGTCAAAGAGTCATAAAAGGGCCAAGTTTGAAGACCCCTACCCTAGGCCTAGAGTCTAGACCAGGGGTAGGCACCCTTGGCTCTTTTATGACTCGTGGACTTCAACTCCCAGAATTCCTGAGCCAGCATGGCTCAGCTTGGAAACCTCTCCCTTTCCCCTCAGCGTGGCTGGCTCAGGAATTCTGGGAGTTGAAGTCCACCAGTCATAAAAGAGCCAAGATGGCCTACCCCTGTCTTAGATAATTAAATCTGAAAGCCATGCACATTCAGAAAGTTTGCTCCCCCCCAAATGCCAAGATTTCATAAAAAAAAAAAAAAGGCAGGAGGCCATTTAAAGGTTTGCTTGTTTGTTCAAAACATTTTCTCCCATTCCTTGTCCCCCTCCCCCCAAATCTCTCCTGGAATAGTGCACGAGTTTCCATAGACTCAGTGCTAGCAAGATACCCCCCCCCCACCGTTTGCTGGATTAAATTTCAAAAAGAAGCAACACGCAAGAAAAATATGTGGGGAGGAAAGAGGAAAGCGGCAAGTAGTCGTTTTTAGAAGTGAAAGAAAGTCATTCTTATTATGATCAGCTAGTGATATTTCAGAGAACAGAAGAGCTTGATTTCATTTCAGCGTGATTTTCTGTTTTATTCTACATCAGTGGTTCTCAACCTTTTTAATACCGCAACCCCAACTGGTTGTAAATCGAGGACTACTCAACCAGTCGTAAGTCGAGGACTACTCAACTGGTGCAGCCCCGTTTGCAGAATGGGACTTTTGGCGGGCTCAGCAGGGCAGAGACAGCCTGGACAATTCCTATTGACTTTTGAAAGCCAATAGAATTAGACTCTATTCAAGAGAGTCTATTCTATTGGCTTTCAAAAGCCAATAGAATAAAAGGGAGTAGCACAGCTAAGGAAAAGGGGGAAAAAATGGCGGACTGCGTTGTTTGGCGACCCCCGTGAAATGGTCGTTTGACCCCAAATGGGGTCTCGACCCACAGGTTGAGAACCACTGTTTTACATCCGCCCGTATTGGTTGCCGTACTAACGTTGATCATACTCAGCTTGATCGGGTGTCTTTGCATTTTATTCCCTTTTTGACCCAGGGTGAAACATCTAATCCTGGTGGATCCTTGGGGCTTCCCCACACGGCCATCCGATCCAGCTCAGGTCCGAACTGCTCCAACTTGGATCAAGGCTGTAGCGACTGTGTTAGGACGGTCCAACCCTCTGGCTGTCCTCCGAGTTGCAGGACCTTGGGGTGAGTGAAGTTGGCCAGAAGATGTTGAATCAAACTTGGCAAGTTCGCTTCTCCTCCAAGAGGCTTCTTCAGCTCTGACTGGATGGTGGAGAATGGAAGGATGTATACTCCTTTGCAGCCAGCTGGTCATTTGCCTTCTTTTAGAGAGTCGTTGAGGCCACTCGGAGGTTTGTCTGTGTTTCTGTAGCCTGCAATGTTTTCTGGAAATCTGTTCATCCTCCCGCACCATTCAAAGTGCATAGCTAAATGTCTATCGAGATTCTCAGTCATCCAGGTCCTAGTTGTGTCAAAGATGCTTTTTCAGGAGGCAACTGGATTTCCTTGGTTTTTTTCGCTTCTCTACAATGCCTTTAAATACTGCATCCAATTTTGGTCACCACGATGTAAAAAAGATATTGAGACTCTAGAAAGAGTACAGAGAAAAGCAACAAAGATGATTAAGGGACTGGAGGCTAAAACATATGAGGAAAGGTTGATGGAATTGGGTATGTCTAGTCCAGGGGTAGATAACCTTGGCTCTTTTATGACTCATGGACTTCAACTCCCAGAAGTTGAAGTCCATGGGAGTTGAAGTCCATGAGTCATAAAAGAGCCAAGGTTGCCTACCCCTGGTCTAGTCTAATGAAGAGAAGGATGAGGGGGGACATGATAGCAGTGTCCCAATATCTCAGGGGCTACCACAAAGAAGAGGGAGTCAATCTCTTCTCCAAAGTGCCTGAAGGCAGGACAAGGAGAGAAGCAACCTAGAAACTAAGGAGACACTTTCTGACAGTTAGAACAATTAACCAGTGGAACAACCTGGCTCCAGAAGCTGTGAATGCTCCAACACTGGAAGTTTTTAAAAAGAAACTGGACAGCCATTTGTCCAAAATGGTGTAGGGTTGCCTGCCTGAGCAGGGGGTTGGACCTGATGACCTCCAAGGTCCCTTCCAACATTATTATTATTATTATTATTATTATTATTATTATTATTATTATTATTATTATTGAGCATCGCACAGTCAGCCAGATGTTCAGACTGGATTTGGCATTTTGTCTACCTATCGAGTCCTTACCCAGGACCTGGGATAGGCAGATGTGGATGTTTGATGGTATTACAGATATCGTCGCAGGATGGAAGCAGTTCCTAGTAAGGCCGCCTTTTGCAATTGACTAATAGCGAATTTGTCAATGCCAATGGTGTTCAAGTGGTGCTCCAGTTGTTTTGGGATTGCACCCAAGGAGCCTATTACTATTGGTACTACCCTTGCTTGCTTTTGCCACAGTCTTTCTATTTCTATTTGTAGGTCTTTGTATTTTGTTATCTTCTCCAGTTCTTTCTCTTCTATTCTGCTATCTCCAGGCACTGCCACGTCCACTATCCAGACTTTTTTGTCTTTCTTATCGACAATTGTTAAGTCTGGGGTGTTATGTTGCAGGTGCTTGTCTGTTTGAATTCTGAAGTCCCAGAGCAGTTTAATTTTATCATTTTCTATGACTTTCTCTATTTTATGATCCCACCAGTTTTTGCTTACAGGCAAATGATATTTTTTGCAGATCTTCCAATGCACCATTGTTGCTACTTTGTCATGCCGCTGCTTGTAATCAGTCTGTGCAATCTTCTTGCAACAGCTTACCAAGTGGTCCACTGTTTCTTCAGCTTCTTTGCATAGGCGGCACTTACTGTCTGTTGCTGTCTTCTCAATTTTGACTTTGTATGCATTTGTCCTTAAGGCTTGGTCTTGTGCAGCCAGAATTAGTCCCTCGGTCTCTTTCTTCAATTTTCCTGCTCTTAGCCATTGCCAGGTTTTATTATTATCTGCTTTCCCAGCTATTTTTTTCATGTATTGGCCATGTAGTGCTTTGTCTTCCCATGCCTCTATTCTGTTCTTCATTTGGTCTTTCTTGTAGGCCAGTTTGGTCTCTCCAGTAGTTAGTAAGCCTTCCTGATATACTAATTTCAGTGCATCTTCATCATTGTTCTTCAGATATTCTTCCAAAGCCATTTTTTCTTCTTCAACCATCTGATGTACTTGTAGCATTCCACGCCCACCTATTTGCCTTGGTAGATAAAGTCTATCAATGTCACTGCGTGGATGAAGGGCATGATTCATTGTCATTATTTTTCTGGTCTGCCTATCCATTGCTTTTAGTTCTGCTTGAGTCCAGTCCACTATTCCAGCTGTGTACCTAATGACTGGGATTGCCCAGGTGTTGATTGCCTTTATGGTATTTCCTCCATTGAGTTTGGATTTTAAGATCTTCTTCACTCTCTTGATGTATTCACCTCTAATCTTTTTCTTGACTTCAGTGTGCTTGATGTTGTCAGCTTGAAGGATACCCAAGTATTTGTAGTACTCTTCCTCATCCAGACTCTTAATGTTATTTTCGTGGGGCATCTTGATTCCTTCAGTTTTCATTATTTTTCCTTGTTTGATAGTAAGTGTGGCACATTTGTCCAAGCCAAACTCCATTACAATATCTTGGCTATATATACGGACAGTGTTGAGCAGCGATTCTATTTCAGATGATGTTTTTCCATACAGCTTCAGATCATCCATATAAAGGAGGTGGGATAGTCTGGCAGATGTTTTTGATGTTTGATAGCCATGTCCTGAGTTATTCAGTATTGTTGACAGAGGAAACAGTGCAATAACAAATAGTAATGGTGATAATGAATCTCCTTGAAATATTCCTCTCTTGATATTAACCTCTCCCAGCCTCTCACCATTGATCTGCAACTGTGTCTTCCATTGTGCCATCGATCTTTGCACAAATTTTCTGATGTTTCTACTGACTCCTGTTATTTCTAGGCACTTTATTATCCAATCATGTGGCAGAGAGTCAAATGCCTTTTTGTAGTCAATCCATGCCACATTCAGGTTGGTCTTCCTTCTCTTGCAGTTTTCCAAGATCATTTTGTCTATTAGGAGTTGATCTTTTGTTCCTCTGCTATTGGGGCGGTTTCCTTTCTGCTCAGGTGGAAAGAGATTGTTTTCAACTAGATGCTGTTGTACTGCATCAGCTACCACACCAGTTAGTAATTTGAAAGTTGTTGGTAAGCAGGTAATTGGCCTGTAGTTACCTGGTGTTGCCCCTTTTGCTGGATTTTTCATTATTAGGTAGGTTTTCCCAGTTGTTAGCCACTTTTCAATTTCTCCTCCTTGTAGTATATTGTTGAATTGCTTGGCAATGAGTGGGTGTATAACAGTTAGATGTTTCAACCAAAACCCATGCAGTTCATCTTCACCTGGTGCTGACCAATTTTTGATTTTTTTTGCTCTTTTTTCTACCATTTTTGTTGTTATTACTAGTTCTTTCATTTCAACTTCTGTTTTATTTGCATCCACCTCTTTTAACCAAGCCGCATCCTTGTTGTATTTCTTTGGGTTATCCCATATCTGCTTCCAGAACTGCACTGTTTCTTCCTTGTCAGGTACTGACTGATTCCTTGCAGTTTCTCCATTGATGGATTGGTAGAAACGTTTCTGATTGGATTGAAATTGGAGGTTCTGCCTATAGTTTGCAATTCGAGCTTCATATCTACTGATTTTCCTGGCTATAGCTGTTATTTGTTGCTTTATTATTTCCAGTGCTTCCTTGATCTTCCTTGTTTCTAAGTGGTATTTCTTGATTAGGTATTCTTTGGTCTTCTTGTTCTTCAGCTTCTTTTCTTTCATCTGTTCTAGCTTGCTTGCATGTGATCTTAACTTGCTGATCTTATTTTCTAGTCTAACCTTCCATTTTTCTGGTGCACTGTTTGTTTGTTTTTCTTCTTTGTTGATTTTGCATCCCAGGTATTCTGTTATAACTGCAGCTGTGCTGTACATTAGTTGGTTTGTTTCTTGCATGAATTGGTGCTTATACTTGATATTGCAGTATTTGCATCTTTTAATGCTTGTGCTAGCTGTTTCTTTGGAACAAGCTTCAATGCAGGTAGCCTTATTCTGTTGTTTTTGTGCTGTTCTAGATGCTCAGTTATTCTTTGTTTCAATTCTTTTATTTCTTTAGTTAGAGGGTTTTGTTCTTCCTGAGGTAGAGGTGCCTGGTTTCCAAATGAGAACAGTTGTATATCTCTGCTAGATTCCTTCACTGCCAACTCCCCCTGGTTTGCCTCTACATTCTGAATTACTTCTGGTAAGGCTTTGATTTCTTTGCCCTGGGTAAACCTTTGCAGTTCGTCCAATTCTGTTTCTGTGAATATTTTATTTCGTGTTATAAATCGGCGTTGATCTGCTAGTCTCTGTTCTGTTATTTCTGATTCTGGATGTTGTTCTTTCCAGAACTGGTGCATTCGTTTTAGATATCCTCTTCTTGTTGGACTTGATCTATAGTAACAGATCATTATTTCTTTGTTTTCCATCACTGTGTATCTGCGACGGGTAAACACCTTTTCTTCCAGTAGTTCTGCAGCTGCTGGCCCTGGTTGCTCAGCCAACAGTCCTGAGTCCTGTAACCCATTTTTCACCAGATATCCAGGAACTCCAATATCTAGTGCGGACCTTGTTAACCCGGGCGACGTCCGAGCCGGTATGGCATTCTGAAATTTACGTCTCACCATATTTTTTATGGGAGAGACACTCTTTGTCTGACTCCTCTGATGAGACCTGTCCAGTATGGTTGAACCTCTGGCATAGCTCTCATCTTCCTCAGAGTACACAAGCCCCACAACCACGTCAAGGTAGTGCCTCACTGGGAGATTATTATTATTATTATTATCCTCCAAGAGGCTTCTTCAGCTCTGACTGGATGGTGGGGAATGGAAGGATTTCCATTATATGAACGGATTTCCCGAAAACATTGAAGGCTACAGGAACAGGGCAAAATATCCTGCAGCCAGAAGGCTCCACACAACTTTGCCCTATTCCGGTGACTCCGAGGACACAGATAATCCTCCAAATGACCCCAACGACCCTCTAACAGAAGGCAAATGACCAGCTGTCTGCAGGAATGGAGAAGGGTGCAGGTGTCAGATAGTGTTTCATCTAGTATATCTTCTGAATTTGTGCCTGGATACCAATGTTCCTTCCTCTTCTTTCACACCTCCACAATATCTTCATGGTATGGATGTCCCCAAAGTGTTTTTTTTTCAGGAGGCAACTGGCCTTTCTTGTTTTTCCTTTGAAGACATTTCGCTTCTCATCCAAGAAGCTTCTTCGGCTCTGACTGGATAGTGGGGATTTATACTCCTTGTAGACAGCTGGTCATTTGCCTTCTTTTAGATCAGGGGTGTCAAACTGGCGGCCTGTGGGCCATATGTGTCACGTGCAGGCCACACCCACCTCAGCTCCACACAGGTAAAAAAAGTCACGATACATCACAATACATCACATGATGCGATTAAGTTTGACACCTGTGTTTTAGAGAGGCCACTTGGAGATTTATCTGTGTCCTCAAGATCACCCGAGTAGTGCAAATGGCTGTGGAGCCTTCTTGGAACTGCTGAAAGGACTGTGTTGTAGACTGGAGATAGATGATGTCGGATCCCTCCCCCTCTGTTGAGAGAGGGCTGTTCATTTTTTTTAACTTTTATGGCCTCTTTGACCCCTCTTTCAAACCAGTGGTCCTCTCTGTACAAAACGTGGTCTTTGCTGTCTTCAAAAGAGTAACCTTTGTCTTTTAAATGCAGAGGACTGATGAATCTCGCCCTGTTGAGTTTGTTATCCTAAGTTGTGCCATGCATTTAATAATAATAATAATAATAATAATAATAATAGTAAAGTTGGAAGAGACCTTGGAGGTCATCTAGTCCAACCCCCTGCTCGGGCAGGAAACCCTACACCATTTCGGACAAATGGCTGTCCAGTCTCTTCTTAAAAACTTCCAGTGTTGGAGCATTTAATGCTTCTGGAGGCAGGCTGTTCCACTGATTAATTGTTCTCACTGTCAGGAAGTTTCTCCTTAGTTCTAGGTTGCTTCTCTCCTTGATTAGTTTCCACCCGTTGCTTCTTGTCCTGCCTTCAGGTGCTTTGGAAAATAGCTTAATTCCCTCTTCTTTATGGCAGCCCCTGAGATATTGGAATACTGCTATCATGTCCCCCCTTGTCCTCTCTTCGTTAAACTAGACATACCCAATTCTAGCAACCGTTCCTTATATGTTTTAGCCTCCAGTCCCCTAATCATCTTTGTTGCTCTTCTCTGTACTCTTTCTAGAGTCTCAACATCTTTTTTACATCATGGTGACCAAAACTGGATGCAGTATTCCAAGTGTGGCCTTACCAAGGCATTGAAGAGTGGTATTAATACTTCACGTGATCTTGATTCTATCCTCTGTTAATGCAGCCTAGCACTGTGTTGGCCTTTTTGGCAGCTGCAGCACACGGCTGGCTCATATTTAGGTGATTGTCTACTAGGACTCCGAGGTCCCTCTCACAGTTACTACTATTGAGCAAGGTGCTACCTATGCTGTACTTGTGCATTTGTTTTTTCTTGCCTAAATGTAGAACCTTGCTTTTTTCACCATTGAATTTCATTTTGTTAGTTAGTGCCCAGTGTTCAAGTCTGTCCAGATCCTTCTGTATCTTAAACCTGTCTTCTGGAGTGTTGGCTATTCCTGCCAGCTTGGTGTCATCTGCAAATGTGTTAAGATGTGTTTAGAATATCTAACTTTTTCTCTAGGTCCTGGGCTGGTCCAGCGGTTCCGTCCAGATTTTAAGCAGAAATTTGCCAAATTTTTTGATGACGATACCATCTCTGAATACATCTATCACTGCAATGCCCAGACACCGAGGTGAGGAAACCCCTCCCCCAGCCCACTGACATGACATTCTGGTTAACTGTGGCCCCAGTAAAAAGCATCCTGTCTGAGCTGGGACCACAGAGACCTGGATAGATCCCAGTCTGATAGTTCAGGCCTGGCTGCAACTGGCATTGGTGATGTTGATAAGCCAGTGAAACATTAGTACTGGTTGTTCTTGACCTTTCAAAGTTACAACCTGGAGTTGAAGTTCTGGAGGTTTTTCCCCTGCTCCCCCTGGGTCACCAAAGCTCACACTGAGCACTTGGACACAATAAATGTGTGTATGACCATTTGCAGTGTCCTGCGGTCATGTGACTGTGTTTTATTATGGTTTTGCCCAAACCCAATTGCTTCCGGTTTTCGGCAAAACACATCCACGGAAAATCACTCTACAACCGTTAACCACAAAAAATGATGTAAAATTTGGACTGTTCATGTTACCTAACGTTTTATGACCTTGATGACATGCAAGCAAGCATAATGGGCAGGTTCCATGATGGTCGTAACTTGGGGACTACCTATAAAGAAATGCATGGCATTCTCCATGCCTCCATTGTGTGGAGTTTGGCTGCGGTGGGCAATATTCAGGCTTCACAAATATAGTAATTGCAGTTCAGGCAGTTAGTATAAACATCATAAAATCCTAAGGCTGGAAGGGACCTTGGAGGTCTTCTAGTCCAACCCCCTACTCAAGTGAGGAGTCTTTATATCATCCCGGACCAATGGTTGTCCAATCTTTTCTTGAAAACCTCCAGCAGGCAAACTCCAGGAGGCGAACCATGTAATTATGTCCTTTCTTCTTGCTCCGCATCAGTGGGGAGGCAGCGTTCAAGGCCATGACCGAATCCCTAGGATGGGCCCGCCGTCCCATGTTGGAACGCATCCACATGATCCGGCGTGACTTGCCCATCACCCTCATCTACGGAGCCAATTCCTGGATCGATACCAGCACTGGGGAGAAGGTCAGGGACCTACGACCAGGGTGCTACGTTAATGACATGGTAAGACATTGGCCCAGAGAACGGGGCTTCTGCAAACATGGAGATCAAGTACAGAATGTGTTCTCTCTCTCTCTCCCTCTCTCTCTCTCTCTCTCTCTCCCTCCCTCTCTCTCTCTCTCTCTTGCTCTCTCTGTCTCTCTCTCTTTCTGTCTCCCTCTCTCTCTTGCTCTTTCTTCCTCTTTCTCTCCCTCTCTCTCTCTCTCTTGCTCTCTTTCTTTCTCTCTCTCTCTCTCTCCCCCTCTCTGTCTCTCTCTTGGTCTCTCTCCCTCCCTCTCTCTCCCGCTCTCTCTCTCTCTTTCTCTCTCTTTTTCTCTGTCTCTCTCTTGCTCTCTCTCTTTCTCTCTCTCTCTCCCTCTCTTTCTCTCTCTTCCTCTCTCTGTCTCTCTCTTTCTCTCTCCCTCTCTCTCTTGCTGTTTCTTCCTCATTCTCTCCATCTCTCTCTTTCTCTCCCTCTCCCTCCCCCCCTCTCTTGGTCTCTCTCTTTCTGTCTCTCTCTCCCTCTCTGTCTCTCTCTTGGTCTCCCTCCCTCTTTCTCTCTGTCTCTCTCTCCCTCTCCCTCTCTGTTTCTCTTTTGGTCTCTCCTTCTCTCTCTCTCTCTTTCTCTCTGCCTTTCTTTTTCTCTCTCTCTTTCTATTTCCATCTCTCAGTGTCTGTCTTTCTGTCTCTCTCTCTCTCTCCTCTTCTCTCACTGTCTTTCTCTCTCTCTCTTTGTAGTCCTCGATTTACATCCATTTATTCAATGACCATTCAAAGTCACAAAAGCACTGGAAAAAGCAGCTTAGTACTGTTTTTCAAATTTAAGGACTGTTGGAGCATCCCCACGGCCACAAGATCGAAACTCAGCCACTTGGCAGCTGGCCAGTATTTATGACAGAGTTGAGGTGTCCCGGGGGTCACATGATCCCCTTTGGTGACTTTCTGACGAGCAAAGTCAACGGGTAGCCATATTCACTGAACAACTGTGTTACTAGCTTAACAACAGCAGTGAGGCACTTAACAGCGGTGGCAGGAAAGCTTGTAAAATGGGGCAAAGCTCACTTAACAACTGTCTTAAGTGATTCGCTGCGGTTGTTAAGTTGCTAATAAGGTTGTGAAATGAATCTGGTTTCCCCATTGACTTTGCTTGTCAGAAGGTCCCTGGGACGTTGAGACCGTCATAAATACGAGTCACTTGCCAAGTGTCTGAATTTGGATCACGTGATCACGAGGGTGCTGTAACCGTCGTACATGTGAACAATGTCATAAGTCACTTTTTTCCCCAGTGGTGCTGTTAACTTTGAGCAGCCACTAAATCAGGGGTGTCAAACTCAATTTCACTGAGGGCCGCATCAGCATTGCGGTTGCCCTCAGGGGGCCGGGTAGGTGTGGCCAGAGTGGGTGCAGCCTACTGGGTGGGCATGGATGGAGTGGGTGCGGCCTAGTGGGTGGGCGTGGCCAGTTCTACATCATTCGCGTCAAGGGTGCCTGTGGGGGCCTGGGCAGGAGTGGGACAGATCTGAGGGTCTCTGGCAGAAGGGGGTGGACTGGGGCATGTGCCAAGGCATGGTCCACCAGGGCAAGTGCCAAGATGGCCACCACAAAGTTGTACATTGGCTCCCGGCTGGTCTGGGCCAGGGCCAAGGCAGCGGAGACCGTTCCCTCACTGTTTCCAGGATGGCTTCGTGGGCCACATGAAACCACTTCGCCAGCCGCATCCAGCCCCCAGGCGTTGTGCTTATTTATTTATTTATGAGACTTATATACCGCTTTAAGTGCAAGCACTCTCTAAGCGGTGTACACCAGTAAGCAATGTATATATATATTTACATTGCCCCAAACAATCTGGGTCCTCATTTTACCTACCCCGGAAGGATGGAAGGCTGAGTCAACCTTGAGCTGGTGAGATTTGAACCGCTGACCTGCTGAACACAGTCAGCTAAAGTGGCCTGCAGTACTGCACTCTAACTGCTGCGCCACCTCGGCATGTCTACACTAAATGACCTGTTATAAATCAAGTACTTCCTGTAAATGTTCGGCAGTCTTGCAAGCTTTGTAAGCAAAATTAGAACTGTGGCTAAACTATACAGGTAATCCTCAAATTACAACCAGTCACTTAGCTTACAGTCACTCCCTGTGGTATTTATAATCCAGTTATGATGGCAGCTGCCCCTCCTTCCCCGATCATGTGACCTCATGGCAGGCCCTTGGCAATCCGCCTGCATTAATGGCTGTTTGCAGTGTCCTGCGCTAGAATAACATTGATGATGTTACTTAGTTTGGTGATGAAACGTCTGCAAGAAAAACAGCAAGCTCAGAACACCAAAGACCCCCTCATGTTAATCCTGAGCTAGAAATATTCCCTTTTATTGTCCCCCCCCAAAAAATATTAGATTTAGGTTTTTCTTTTTTCTGGATATGTGCCTATATCCCTCACTGAGCTGGATGGCTGTTCCTCTTTTGTGTTGCTCCTCTAGGCCATCCCTGGAGCCTCCCACCACGTCTACGCTGACCAACCCAGGGCCTTCAACGCTGCAGTGGAACAAATCTGCAATGCCGTGGACTGACCGCCGAAGCTGGAGTGGAAAAATAGTTTCTATCCTTGCCAACTTATTGCTCAGCTGCGGGGAAGACGAAGAAGGCACACGCCACTTTCCGTGCCCCCGGGGGAGCTGAAACTGAAATCCCCGTGGATCTGACTGCAGATGGATCTCCGGGGATCTCTGCTGTCCAGCCTGCACTCCCTCCCTCCCTCCCTCTTGATTTCCCCTAGAAACATCTTTCTACTTAAAGGTTGCAGACCTCCTGTTTTGGGTTAATCCAAGTCTAACTATTCTATTTTTTTTACCCGAGAATGTTTTGTTCTTGGTTTGATTTACACCACATCCTCATGCAACGCTGGTTCCCCGTGTTGTCAGTTCCAACTACAATCCCTGCTCCAATTTTATTCCTCCTCCTCCTCCTCCTCCTCCTCCTCCTCCTCCTCCTCCTCCTCCTCCTCCTCCTCCTCCTCCTCCTCCTCCTCCTCCTCCTCCTCCATCCTACTACCTGTTGGAGATCTCGCTCCCTACCTTTGTGTATTTCAAAGGCGTTGTCGGTTTCTGCCGGAAAGCTATTTTGAATCTCTATGTTGACCCTGTTAGATGATGCTAGAGTTCTTCTCTTTGATACCTGGTGCCTTTGGGGATAAACTTCTAGTTGCAGAATTTTTACATATTTTGGGAAATAGATGCTATTATTAATTCAATGCAACAGAGACGTCTCTGTCAATGAAGCTTCAGGAAATGCACAAAACCCTTTAGGTGGTCTTCCGAAGCACCGTCCTAGGTGATTGCTGGAAACGGAGGACGATGTTCAGTAATTTTGAGGTGATGTCCTAAAATTAGATATATTTCAGAGAGACAGTGAGAAAGAGATTGAGATGTCAACTCCTAACCTCTTTCTCATGCACGATGTGGCCATACCTATTTCCCACATTACAACTCCTAATCTGAAAAAAAAAAAAAAAAAAAAAAAAACTTAAGTCCTAACTTAAGAGGCCAAGGACTGAGTGTAAATTCTCTTTGGAATGTGCAAACTGTGCAGAATTTAAATGGCTTTGACCTTGGAGTATTTTGTTTGAGCCTCCAAACACTCATTTTGCCCTTGAAAGGGTTCTCAACTCTTCAGGGCTGTTGTTTTGCACTTGGTGAAGAACATCTTTTGAGCTCAACTCATTCCCAAAATATTTGGGAGAACCTGAACCCCATCTATCCCCCTAAGCCTATGAAAAGTTTTTCTTCTCCATAAGATACATAGTTCTGTTCCCCTTGGAACCATGAGTCACATCCAAGTTTGATGGGAGAACTTTTTCAGAATGGTGAGTGTGATACTACTGGAAAAGTGATGTTGCAGAACTAATATGACTAACATATTAGAAATCCAGAATGGATGGTAAAGTTTGAAAAGAAGGGGATGGATTTAAAGGGAATTCCTCACTTTTAGGACCTCAACATCATCAGCCATGGCTTCAAGATGATCTGTCCTTCTAAAACCAGGGGAGAATCTGGAGCAGAGAGCGATTTAAGGGTCCTGCTTCAAATAGAAGATATTTGAGAGTTATACTTAGGCCCTACTACTTGGCCCTCAAACTTGTTTGTGCGTTTGTGATTATAAAAGTATCTTAACGTGAGGAACATCTGGCTGATCTCGTCTGGGTTTGGCAGTTGAGTGGGGTCCAGGCTAAGTAGCACTTGAATGAGGAATTACCAGGGAAATTTAAAGATAAAAACCACGACAGTTGGCTAATGACAAGTTTGACTTGAAGGCTTTACCTGAAACTGTTGTTCTAGTTATAAAGGGGGGTTCTTGCTGGACTTGAATTCCACCCCCAAACCATGAGCCTTTTGGCCCTCATCTATGTGTGAAAAGGTGGGTCTTGCCATTCAACGGAAGTAAAAGTGAATTCTCTTTTTGGGGGACAAATGGAGGAGAAGGAAGCTGGTCAGCATCTGATCTGCGGTGGTCTGTGAAAGCTTCCTAGAAAACAATTTAAGAGCAGACTCCATACCTCTCGTGAAATCCACCTCACCTCCCAAACCAGCTGCTCTTTCCTAACTGGGCTGGATGTCCCCGGTGGCTGGGGAATATGGGTGTTGGACTCTTAACACCAACATGGAGGCTTGGCCAAATTGAAAAAGGTCACACTATGGTTGGGGGAGAAAGAAAGCCTTCTTTTTCAACTTGATTTACTTCTCTTTGGTGTTCCTGTTAAAGTTGCCTGTTGGGATTCATGAATCCCTGCTCCCCTGCTGTATGAAGGTTTAATGGAGATAGGGGCAAAAAAAAGTTTGGTATCCAGGCAGTTCTTGGAGCTGAAGTTATTTGGAAAAAAGATTAACACTATTAACACAATTCCTAATACTGGCTGTAGGACACAGTCTGAATCGCACCTAACTGACTTCCCAGCAGTGCCATCTATGGAATTACCCTTTGTTTGTACTAATTTTGTATGTTTATTAAAATAAAATTATTGCTTAAAAAAACATTTGGGGGAATAGTCTGTGTCTTTGTAAAGCTTGTTGTGCTTTCTTTCCTGCTTTGGATATGATGTCCCATTCTTCTTATTTAATATTTCTCAACCTTAGCAGCTTTAAGTTGCACAGAATAATAGAGTTGGAAGGGACCTTGGAGGTCTTATAGTCTAACCCCTTGCTCAAGCAGGAGACCCTATATCATTTCAGACAAGTGGCTGTTCAGTCTCTTCTTAAAAATCTCCAGTGTATTGGGGCACCCATAACTTCTGGAAGCACGTTGTTGCACTGATTAAGGGTTATAACTCTCAGGAAACTTCTCACTTACACATACGAGATATTTTTTTTCTCTCCATCCTGTGACACTTTTTCACAAAATGCATTTAGCAGATGATTTAATTCCAAGGCAACAATATCCCTCTTTACAATCAGTTAAATAAACTCACAACTTCTGAAGGCAAGCTGTTCCACTGGTTAATTGTTCTCACTGTGAGGAAGTTTCTCCTTAGTTCTAGGTTGCTTCTCTCCTTGATTAGTTTCCCTCTGTTGTTTCTGGTGCTTTGGGAAATAGGGTGACCCCCTCTTTTTGTGGTGGCCCCTCAAATACTGGAAGATTACTATCGTGTCCTTTTCACTAGACTAGCCATACCCAATTCCTGCAACCGTTCTTCATATGTTCTAGCTTCTAGGTCCCTAATCATCTTTGTTGCTCTTCTCAACGTACATGGCTGGCTGGAGAATTCTGGGGGATGAAATCCACACATCTCCAAGTTGTCACAGTTGGGAAACATTGCTCAAAAGGATCCAGCTAGAATATAAAGTAGCCACTCTAAAAGTTTATTTATTTATTTATTTATTTATGAGACTTATATACCGCTTTAAGTGCAAGCACTCTCTAAGCGGTATACACCAGTAAGCAATGTATATATATATATATATTTACATTGCCCCCAACAATCTGGGTCCTCATTTTACCTACCCCGGAAGGATGGAAGGCTGAGTCAACCTTGAGCCGGTGAGATGTGAACCGCTGACCTGCTGAACACAGTCAGCTAAAGTGGCCTGCAGTACTGCACCCTAACTGCTGCGCCACCTCGGCTTTACAACCTTGCTAATGTGGAATAATAATAATGAAAAATCACATCACTAGAATAATGATTTGTCTGCATAATTACTGGAATAATGCTGTGTTAGCAATATGTGACTAACCAAATTCGCTTTGCACTTGGAAACAATGTATGTAGCAAAACTCTCTTCATTGTATGCCCGTGAGAAACGGACCTAATGTATCACAATATTAGTATAAATCTGAAGTCTGAATCTGCCCTCGGGGTTCAGAATTGCTTTTCTCTATATTGCTTCTGAACCTACGCAATAAATCTCTCTGCTAAACCCTCTGGAATTCGTAAAAGTTCCTTTCGTTTTCCACAAGATTGCTGCTGATGTTTTGGCAGTTCTACATATTTTTTGTAAAGTTTTTTATTGATTTTTTTTTCATACAATTCAATAGTATTTATTCAACAAATGTGTTGTCCGAGTTTATCATTCACTAATACAAATTTAATTCCTAATCCTTTATTCTTTTCTCCAGCCATTGATAAAATAAGTCCCAAGTTTGAAAATAATCTGTTTATCCTTTTTCTTTCAACGTCATAGTAACTCTGTCCATTTCAGCACATTCTAGTATTTTTTTTTATTATTTCTTCCAGTTTCTACACATTTTTAATTCACGACTGCCACCCACTGTCCAGCTTCTGACACAACAATCTTTAGTTCTTTGAGATGACGCACAGCAAAGATGATTAAGCTATTGGATTAGTTGAGATTTCCCACGCAGCTTCAGAAATTCAGTAGCCCCAATTTTTTTAGTCCTACCAATTCACAGGGCTGTTGTGTAAGAAAATGAGGAGGAATGAACACCTTGAACTTTTGATAAAAAGCTGGAATAAAACTCTAAAACAAAGGCTGATGTGGGTGGTTCATTTTGGAAAATAGGGGAGAAATAATAATAATAATAATAATAATAATAATAATAATAATAATAATAATAATAATAATAATGATGATGATGATGATAATAAAAAGTTGGAAAGGACCTTGGAGGTCATCTAGTCCAACCCCCTGCTCAGGCAGGCAACCATATACCATTTTGGACAAATGGCTGTCCAGTTTCTTTTTAAAAACTTCCAGTGTTGGAGCATTCACCACTTCTGGAGGCAGGTTGTTCCACTGGTTAATTGTTCTAATTGTCAGGAAATTTCTCCTTAGATCTAGGTTGCTTCTCTCCTTGGTTAGTTTCCATCCGTTGCTTCTTGTCCTGCCTTCAGGCACTTTGGAGAATAGCTTGACTCCCTCTTCTTTGGGGCAGCCCCTGAGATATTGGATATTGGAACACTGCTATCCTGTCCCCCATTGTCCTTCTCTTCATTAAAACATAGCTGTAAGAATGGCATAGACCAGGGGTAGGCAACCCAAAACACTCAAAGAGCCACTTGGACCCGTTTCCCACCAAAAACAAAACACCGGGAGCCACAAAACCCTTTTGATATCTAAAATGAAGATAACACTGTATATATCCTTTTTTACCTTTATTGTAAATGTGTGTGTGTGTGTATGTACACACACATTAAAAATAAAAGTAAAAATATGACTCTTGGGAATATCCATTCCACCAGATATCCACCAGATCCTGGTGATTGGCTCAAAGTTACCCAGCTAGCTCTCATACCTAAGGTGGGACTAGAACTCATGATTGCC